CGGCACCCGTCGAATTTTTAAAATACACAAACTGGGGGCCCAACCCCCATCGCTCATGGATCCTTTTCAAAAGGGAATGGGTGCCCAAAACCCCCCGAAAGCGACTCACAAAGTCTTTTTTACCTCTGCAGCGGAAATGTGCCCCTTGGGCGGTTAAATGGGGGGGTTTGGCCTTTTCTGTTTTTGGACGAAGAAGAGGGGGTCTTAATTTCCGAAGGTCGCCATCCTGGGGTTTGAAAAAATTTCGGGAACGACAAAAGGTTTTTGACCAACGGGGAAAAAGGGCCAGAAAAAACCGGCGGGACGTTTTGATTGTTACCCCCTTGCCCAAAAGTCTCCACCCTGGGCGGCTCCCCGAAAGTGGACCCCCTGTGTTCGGTTTTTTTGGGCCGAGATGGGGGCCTCTTTTCCCAAAAAAAAGACGGTCTTCACCTGGGGGGGTTTAAGGGGGACCTTCGCGAAGATATTTTTTCCCGGGAGGGCCCGACCAACCAGACAATGTCTTTATCGAACTTTCCGCAGGCTCGCCAATCTCGGTGAAAATGACAGGATCGGACACAACTCGGGGAGCACGGACCACCTGATCGTCTTCATCCGGATCCTTTACATCAGAGAAGGAACTGAGAGTGTCAGCATCCTTGCCCTGCAAAGGATCAGACTCAGCGAAGTCAGTTTTATCCGTGCTGCTAGCTGGAGAACGTCCAGATGAAACTCCTGTGCCGGGTCTCCGAAATGGCTGGAGGACTTGTGCTCTTTGTCGTGGTTGTTGATGACGATGATGATGGAGTGGGTTCTCGTATGACTGGAACCGAAGGAATCGCCTTATCACTGCTGGACGAACTTGAACTAGAAGTAGAATCGTCGGATGACGACGAAAAGGATGATGTGGTTGACCAGGACGAGGATGATCTCGACAGGCCAGACAAACGTGTCGGTGACGTACTTGTACTTGCCTTATATCCATCACTCGGCTCACTAATGTCTCCATCGCCTAGCGACAGTGACTCCCTGTCCAAGGAAGTGGAGTCCCCTAGTGATTCAAGGTAATGGCTGATTCTGCCGACCGATGCGTGCCGGACACTCTTGCTGTCCAGCGAAATAGAGCTGGTGCTGTCACCTGGAGCAGGTGATTGAACGTGGTGACCTTCGTCGAGGTAGATCACCTCTTCTTCTGCATGTGCCGACCAACCAGACAATGTCTTTATCGAACTTTCCGCAGGCTCGCCAATCTCGGTGAAAATGACAGGATCGGACACAACTCGGGGAGCACGGACCACCTGATCGTCTTCATCCGGATCCTTTACATCAGAGAAGGAACTGAGAGTGTCAGCATCCTTGCCCTGCAAAGGATCAGACTCAGCGAAGTCAGTTTTATCCGTGCTGCTAGCTGGAGAACGTCCAGATGAAACTCCTGTGCCGGTCTCCGAAATGGCTGGAGGACTTGTGCTCTTTGTCGTGGTTGTTGATGACGATGATGATGGAGTGGGTTCTCGTATGACTGGAACCGAAGGAATCGCCTTATCACTGCTGGACGAACTTGAACTAGAAGTAGAATCGTCTGATGACGACGAAAAGGATGATGTGGTTGACCAGGACGAGGATGATCTCGACAGGCCAGACAAACGTGTCGGTGACGTACTTGTACTTGCCTTATATCCATCACTCGGCTCACTAATGTCTCCATCGCCTAGCGACAGTGACTCCCTGTCCAAGGAAGTGGAGTCCCCTAGTGATTCAAGGTAATGGCTGATTCTGCCGACCGATGCGTGCCGGACACTCTTGCTGTCCAGCGAAATAGAGCTGGTGCTGTCACCTGGAGCAGGTGATTGAACGTGGTGACCTTCGTCGAGGTAGATCACCTCTTCTTCTGCATGTGCCGACCAACCAGACAATGTCTTTATCGAACTTTCCGCAGGCTCGCCAATCTCGGTGAAAATGACAGGATCGGACACAACTCGGGGAGCACGGACCACCTGATCGTCTTCATCCGGATCCTTTACATCAGAGAAGGAACTGAGAGTGTCAGCATCCTTGCCCTGCAAAGGATCAGACTCAGCGAAGTCAGTTTTATCCGTGCTGCTAGCTGGAGAACGTCCAGATGAAACTCCTGTGCCGGTCTCCGAAATGGCTGGAGGACTTGTGCTCTTTGTCGTGGTTGTTGATGACGATGATGATGGAGTGGGTTCTCGTATGACTGGAACCGAAGGAATCGCCTTATCACCAGGACCAACTTTGTTCTGGCTGTCTTTAGTCACTGAAGAACTAGATGAACTATAAATAGTGTTAGCAGTGCTTTTTTCTATAATTTCGAATTCTTCATCATCACTACTTCTCGACGAACTTAGATATTCTTTTTCCACGCTATCTGGTACCCAATAGCTCTCAAATGAACTCTCGCTCTCATATGATGTGTCTTCTAAAAGCATTGCTTCATAATCAGTTATTTCTGAGTCTTGATCTATTGTATTTGCTTCGTCGTATGAACTATTGTAATATGTTGAATATTTTTCCAGTGATGAGGTGGAACTGCTTGAACTTACACTTCTTGATTTTAAGCTAAATCTTCTTTTCGAGACAGGTGTGATATGGTCTCTTGACCAGTCTTCTAGGGTGTGGAGAGTTGCTTCACTTTTAGATCTGAAGGTCAGGTTCCCTGGGCTGATCCTTCTGAAGTCCCTCCCTCTGGACCGCAGTGCTACCTCTCTGCCTTCTTCATTCCCTGATCAAGTAGTTACCATGGTTACTGATCAGTAAGTCTTAGGAAATATTTGATAGCAACACTGGTGGGAATAGATTTATGTTTTTATTACATATTTAATGGTATTACTATCTCGAGAGGTCAAGTACAGCTTATTTAATAAAGGTTCTTATTAAGAATGAGGTATATTTACATTTGTCACAGACAGCACAGCTTCTACCGTCCATAACGCCTTTAATGTAACAAGGATGGCACATCACGTGACCACACACGTTAGTTTTCAGTAGTTGTCCCCAAGGGAGCTCTTTGAAGTGTCGTTCACATATTCCACATATTTCTTCTGAAAATAAGATTCAAAAGATTGTTTACTAAATTCATTGTATATTAAATTCATTCGGATAAATTTTAAGTGTCTAAACTTTAACGTTTGCTATTTGAGGATACCCCGAAACAGCTTCTTAGCACATCAAAACATTTACGCATGTAATAATATTTGTTTCACTCATTTTTCCCGTGATTTTAATCTTCCTCATTTTTTGATTGTCATTATCGTTTCAGAATATTTTGAAATTGGTATTGTATAAAATGTTAATTTCCAGTAAAGTCCGAAATGGAGATACACTAACCAGGGTCTCTAGAAGAGACTGATAACGAAACATTGCTGACTCTATCAGGATCTCTTAACTCCTCTTCTTCATCTCCTTGTGTGCTTACCTGATGATTAATGGAGTAGATATTTAGAATGCAATCAGTCAAACCAGGTAAAGTTAACATATCTTACTGTTATACCAGGTAAAGTTAACATATCTTACTGTAATACCAGGTAAAGTTAACATATCTTACTGTTATACCAGGTAAAGTTAACATATCTTACTGTTATACCAGGTCTTTGTTCCCCCCAATCTCCCCACTGATTACTCCGCTGAGGCTGCGACTGAAAATACCACACTTATAACTAAACGGTTATTTTGTAGTTTGTAACTAAAGGATTATTTAGTGAATGTTCTAAACTATTTGATATATGCGGAATTGTAGTTTTACTGGTAAAGTACTCTTATAATAACTTAATAATATTATTATTTATAATTTAATCTTATAATAATATTAATCACGTGATACAGTATGGTCGCCCATACTGTATCACGTGACATACCTGTGGTCTTTGGGGCACCGAGAGAAGAGTAAAAGTTTTCCAGAACTTTCTGCTGTTTTTATCAGGCATATCTTGGGTTATGACCAAAGAGAAACTACACCCTGCTACTAGAGTAAAAGAGAAACATCCAATATAAACATCCAATATAAACCTGCCCTGCTATTAGTTATATTGCAGTCTTGTTTTGGGCGGATTTTACTATTGAGTACACTAAAATAAATAAGTAACTGAAAATAAAAAGGCAAAGAATTGTTTATAAGTTTATAATTGCACTCAGCACGATAAGAGTTTCGTATTTTCCTTGGTCTAATGATTTATAAACAACTATCAAGTAAAAGGATAAACCACACTAATCAGTAGAGATAAAGACGAAAGGTCCGTTTTTTCAATTGTTTAAATCAAAACATAGTTTTGAAGTTCATTTAGATCTTGGATTTAAATTAACGATACTGAGCGAAAAATGTAAAACAAAAGTTTGAAAACTAAAAGTTAAATATTAATCAACACGAATACAAGGTGTACATTGCGGGTGTTACTGCATGTTTGTTTATATTGCAGTTATTAACCGTTCACACAGTGCCAAGCCTGCAATAACATTGTCATTACCTTAAATATAAACATATGATAATCTACACGGTGTTACGGTTTCTGGTTCACTAGAGATAAGCCATCGTATCAGCTGTACATGAACATAATATATCATACAAAATAAAATGAACTTGTTGGTTTCACTGGCATGCTTGTATCTTTGTATCAAAAAGGGAAGGATACTTTCTGTCCTTACACAGGGCCAACAACATGTTATGAAATGCTGTCTGCTACATGCCCAGCTTCTACACAAAAATGTGTATCAGTCTACATGACTATCAGTCTACATGACTATCAGTCACTAATAGTATATATATACTAATAGTATACGGTGATTTTAGTTTTATTCACATGTTTTTATTTTTGCCCCATTTTCGGTCAATTTTTGCCCGATTGACCGGTTATTTGCACTTAGGATTTATGAGCGTTTATTTGTTGAGAAGTCGAAGAAGGATTGTAAATTAGTAAGTTACTGATAAAAATTAGTTTCAATTGAAGCAAATGGCAATTTAATTTAAAATGCTTTCTGTTTGTTGTTGGTTAAACAGGAATTACGAAACGTTTTTGAATTGCTTTTGAAAATGAGTGAGAATTGATCTTAACACAACGAAAATAAATTTATGTAAATGCTTGTCTAAAAATAATCTAAAAGTTCAATTGCATATGTATCTAAATATGATATTTTAAAAACAGTGTTAAATCTCTCCCAAATGTGTCAAATGTTCAGAAATGTCCATAAAAATGTTTACATGACAAGGCCGGATTCTTCCTCCTCCTCCTCTTCTTCTAGTTGAACAATAACGTCTGAGGATTTGTTGAACTTCTTACCACCCACTTCGAACTTCACCGACACTCTGAAACGGAATGTCTTTTATCAAGATTGATCATGTTACATAATTATTATGGCCAGTTGGTAATCTAGCTAGGCACACTTGGGGCACACTTGGGGCACAAAATTGAAATTCCTGGGGCACACTTCATTTCATCTATTATCATTAAATGAAATGAAAGTCATCAACTGCATTTATAATGAGTAACCTACCTGTATGTTCCAGCCTCCTTGGCAGTAACTCCCGTGATAGTTAGTGATGTCTTGTCCTCGCTCAGCGAGTATCTGTCTCCGTTCAACTGAGGGTAGATGAGGATTGTTAGAACAAGCACATAATTTTATTGTCTTAAAACGTTCCACTATTTAATTCACTATTTAATTCACTATTTATTTCACTATTTCCTTGTAAGTGTGAGTGGAAATAATTAATTATTTATGATTCCCATTAATTAATTACCTTCTTGTTGGGCACTTTAACCCAGGTAATCTTATCCGCAGCTGGTGTTGGTACAACGTTAATCTCAACATTTATAGTAACATCTCCTCCCTCTTTAACTGTGTAGAACTTCTTACCAGCTTCAACAGCACCTGCACAATAACCAGCTTAGTTAACAACTGAATAATTAGCTTAGTTAACAACTGAATAACCAGCTTAGTTAACAACTGAATAACCAGCTTCAACAGCACCTGCACAATAACCAGCTTAGTTAACAACTGAATAACCAGCTTCAACAGCACCTGCACAATAACAAGCTTAGTTAACAACTGAATAACCAGCTTAGTTAACAACTGAATAACCAGCTTAGTTAACAACTGAATAACCAGCTTAGTTAACAACTGAATAACCAGCTTAATTAACAACTGAATAACCAGCTTAGTTAACAACTGAATAACCAGCTTAATTAACAACTGAATAACCAGCTTAGTTAACAACTGAATAATTAGCTTAGTTAACAACTGAATAACCAGCTTAGTTAACAACTGAATAACCAGCTTAATTAACAACTGAATAACCAGCTTAATTAACAACTGAATAACCAGCTTAATTAACAACTGAATAACCAGCTTAGTTAACAACTGAATAACCAGCTTAATTAACAACTGAATAACCAGCTTAGTTAACAACTGAATAATTAGCTTAGTTAACAACTGAATAACCAGCTTAGTTAACAACTGAATAATTAGCTTAGTTAACAACTGAATAACCAGCTTAATTAACAACTGAATAACCAGCTTAGTTAACAACTGAATAACCAGCTTAATTAACAACTGAATAACCAGCTTAGTTAACAACTGAATAACCAGCTTAGTTAACAACTGAATAACCAGCTTAGTTAACAACTGAATAACCAGCTTAGTTAACAACTGAATAACCAGCTTAGTTAACAACTGAATAACCAGCTTAGTTAACAACTGAATAATTAGCTTAATTAACAACTGAATAACCAGCTTAGTTAACAACTGAATAATTAGCTTAGTTAACAACTGAATAACCAGCTTAATTAACAACTGAATAACCAGCTTAGTTAACAACTGAATAACCAGCTTAGTTAACAACTGAATAACCAGCTTAGTTAACAACTGAATAACCAGCTTAGTTAACAACTGAATAACCAGCTTAGTTAACAACTGAATAATTAGCTTAGTTAACAACTGAATAACCAGCTTAGTTAACAACTGAATAACCAGCTTAGTTAACAACTGAATAACCAGCTTAATTAACAACTGAATAACCAGCTTAGTTAACAACTGAATAACCAGCTTAGTTAACAACTGAATAACCAGCTTAGTTAACAACTGAATAACCAGCTTAGTTAACAACTGAATAACCAGCTTAGTTAACAACTGAATAATTAGCTTAGTTAACAACTGAATAACCAGCTTAGTTAACAACTGAATAATTAGCTTAGTTAACAACTGAATAACCAGCTTAATTAACAACTGAATAACCAGCTTAGTTAACAACTGAATAACCAGCTTAGTTAACAACTGAATAACCAGCTTAGTTAACAACTGAATAACCAGCTTAGTTAACAACTGAATAACCAGCTTAGTTAACAACTGAATAATTAGCTTAGTTAACAACTGAATAACCAGCTTAGTTAACAACTGAATAACCAGCTTAGTTAACAACTGAATAACCAGCTTAATTAACAACTGAATAATTAGCTGGATAATTAGCTGGATAATTAGCTGGCTAATTAGCAATGATTAGCATGTTATTAATTTGAGTCATTACCTTCAATTAAAAGGAAAGATAATGAATATGCTGAATAGTGTACTCACTGTACAAGATGACCTCTACTAGTTCGCTGGTTTCAGTGCTGGGTATAAACAAAGCGTACACTCCCGCGTTCTGATCAGCAATATTATTGATGTTCAGCAACATTTTGTCGTCTGACATTTCTGAAAATAGGGTAAATTTTAGGTGAATGTTAGGTGTATTGTGGGCATCAAGGTATATGCTTTGCCTTGTTGGCTACATGGTAGTGTGAATCCATTAACTCGGATACAGAATCACAATCTAACATAAATTACTGAATCGGTCTTCTGATAGAATAAATAGTAAAATAAGATGAAAATAGTGTGTACCTATGTTACTGAGACCGTCAGCAGGCAGTTTAACCGAGTTTAACTTGGTCCACTCCACCTCGCTGGAATCGAAATCTTTCTCCGAGTTGAGGGTACAGTTGACCACGGCCAGTTCTCCGTATTTAGCGTGGACTACTTTAGGCTCACACGAGGTCTTTCGGTCTGAACAGAGCTTCAATTAGATTGACAGGAAAAATAGAATTCTTGGTAGTAAGTTGTGGTTGAGGCCGAGAAAGTGAACTAAATAAAGTGGCGTATGTTTGATAACTCACTATATACACAGTATGCCATGTCCTGGACCACAGGGTTAAGCTGGTAAGCGTAGTAATCTCCACAGTTCTTCACCCGTATATTCTCCTTACTAGTACACGCCTGGTTAAGCCCCTCGCTGTCAGTCTTTATGCACACTTCTCTGGTAACCACTCCCTCCTCGACGTTAGGGTGACCCTAGAAATAGTGTTAACTTTAGTGAGGAGACAGTGTTAACTTAAGTGTGGTCACAGTGTTAACTTCAGTGTGGACACAGTGTTAACTTTAGTGTGGACACAGTGTTAACTTTAGTGTGGACACAGTGTTAACTTTAGCGTGGTCACAGTGTTAACTTTAGTGTGGACACAGTGTTAACTTTAGTGTGGTCACAGTGTTAACTTTAGTGTCGACACATTGTTAACTTTAGTGTGGTCACAGTGTTAACTTTAGTGTGGTCACAGTGTTAACTTTAGTGTGGTCACAGTGTTAACTTTAGTGTCGACACATTGTTAACTTTAGTGTGGTCACAGTGTTAACTTTAGTGTCGACACATTGTTAACTTTAGTGTGGTCACAGTGTTAACTTTAGTGTGGTCACAGTGTTAACTTTAGTGTGGTCACAGTGTTAACTTTAGTGTGGTCACAGTGTTAACTTTAGTGTGGTCACAGTGTTAACTTTAGTGTGGACACAGTGTTAACTTTAGTGTGGTCGGACATATAGTTTATTGAGATAAAAGAATTAAAAGTCTAACCAACTAATTAAAAGAAGTAAATTAACCAGTGTTACCTGGTTACCTGGTTACATGGTTACCTGGTTACCTTGTTACCTGGTTACCTGGTTACCTGGTTACCTGGTTACCTGGTTACCTGGTTACCTGGTTACCTGGTTACCTGGTTACCTGGTTACCTGGTTACCTGGTTACCTGGTTACCTGGTTACCTGGTTACCTGGTTACCTGGTTACCTGGTTACCTGGTTACCTGGTTACCTGGTTACCTGGTTACCTGGTTACCTGGTTACCTGGTTACCTGGTTACCTGGTTACCTGGTTACCTGGTTACCTGGTTACCTGGTTACCTGGTTACCTGGTTACCTGGTTACCTGGTTACCTGGTTACCTGGTTACCTGGTTACCTGGTTACCTGGTTACCTGGTTACCTGGTTACCTGGTTACCTGGTTACCTGGTTACCTGGTTACCTGGTTACCTGGTTACCTGGTTACCTGGTTACCTGGTTACCTGGTTACCTGGTTACCTGGTTACCTGGTTACCTGGTTACCTGGTTACCTGGTTACCTGGTTACCTGGTTACCTGGTTACCTGGTTACCTGGTTACCTGTTTACCTGGTTACCTGGTTACCTGGTTACCTGGTTACCTGGTTACCTGGTTACCTGGTTACCTGGTTACCTGGTTACCTGGTTACCTGGTTACCTGGTTACCTGGTTACCTGGTTACCTGGTTACCTGGTTACCCCTGGTTACCTGGTTACCCTTGGTTACCTGGTTACCTGGTTACCTGGTTACCTGGTTACCTGGTTACCTGGTTACCTGGTTACCTGGTTACCTGGTTACCTGGTTACCTGGTTACCTGGTTACCTGGTTACCTGGTTACCTGGTTACCTGGTTACCTGGTTACCTGGTTACCCTTGGTTACCTGGTTGATGTAAGCAGCACGCTTGGCACCACACGAGTACTGAGGGGCAGGAGGCTTCTCAGCCATCATCTGGAATCCAGTAGTGAATCTGTACCAATCCTTACCTGGTGTATTCACACATCAATAATCAGTATCACTAAAACGTTCTTCAATGTTCAGTTATAACGTTAATCCAAGCAACAGAAGGCGATTGTAATAATTTAAATTATAAGAGTGTTACAGTGTTACAGTATTACAGTGTTACAGTATTACAGTGTTACAGTATTACAGTGTTACAGTGTTACAGTGTTACAGTGTTACAGTGTTACAGTGTTACAGTGTTACAGTGTTACAGTGTTACAGTGTTACGGTGTTACAGTGTTACAGTGTTACGGTGTTACAGTGTTACAGTGTTACAGTGTTACAGTGTTACAGTGTTACGGTGTTACAGTGTTACAGTGTTACGGTGTTACAGTGTTACAGTGTTACAGTGTTACAGTGTTACAGTGTTACAGTGTTACAGTGTTACAGTGTTACAGTGTTACAGTGTTACAGTGTTACAGTGTTACAGTGTTACAGTGTTACAGTGTTACAGTGTTACAGTGTTACAGTGTTACAGTGTTACAGTGTTACAGTGTTACAGTGTTACAGTGTTACAGTGTTACAGTGTTACAGTGTTACAGTGTTACAGTGTTACAGTGTTACAGTGTTACAGTGTTACATTGTTACAGTGTTACAGTGTTACAGTGTTACAGTGTTACAGTGTTACAGTGTTACAGTGTTACAGTGTTACAGTGTTACAGTGTTACAGTGTTACAGTGTTACCCTTGTTGTAGTCGGTGTGTAGGTCGTCTTGTGACTCGGACACGTAAAACTGGTTCCTCCACTCCTCTGATAGTGGGTTAGCGTGCAAGCACACATCAGTATCTGCCAGGGAGGATTTCATCAACATGGGTACAGTTTCATTAACAATAGTCTAGTTGTATATTTAATTTTAATTCAAGGAAATTTATTTGTGAAGAATAGCCTTATTGTAAATTTCAACACACAAGTTCTTTTTCTGCGTAACTCCTAGCAGATCGAACTTGTTTAACATTACTTACGTTATTAAGATAACACTCCAAAGGTAACAGATTTATTGCAGGGTTAAACTTAATGGGTAATTAAGATAACGTACCAACACTCCAAAGGTAACAGATTTATTGCAGGGTTAAACTTAATGGGTAATTAAGATAACGTACCAACACTCCAAACGTAGTGGTAGTTAGGAGTAGGCTGGAGCCAGTATACGTAGTGTACTAATTAAGATAACGTACCAACACTCCAAACGTAGTGGTAGTTAGGAGTAGGCTGGAGCCAGTATACGTAGTGTACTAATTAAGATAACGTACCAACACTCCAAACGTAGTGGTAGTTAGGAGTAGGCTGGAGCCAGTATACGTAGTGTACTAATTAAGATAACGTACCAACACTCCAAACGTAGTGGTAGTTAGGAGTAGGCTGGAGCCAGTATACGTAGTGTACTAATTAAGATAACGTACCAACACTCCAAACGTAGTGGTAGTTAGGAGTAGGCTGGAGCCAGTATACGTAGTGTACTAATTAAGATAACGTACCAACACTCCAAACGTAGTGGTAGTTAGGAGTAGGCTGGAGCCAGTATACGTAGTGTACTAATTAAGATAACGTACCAACACTCCACACGTAGTGGTAGTTAGGAGTAGGCTGGAGCCAGTATACGTAGTGTACTAATTAAGATAACGTACCAACACTCCACACGTAGTGGTAGTTAGGAGTAGGCTGGAGCCAGTATACGTAGTGTCTCCGCAGTCCTTTACTCTGATCTTGATGACGTGTGTAGTTGAGCCAAACTTAGCTGTCCTCTCCACCTCACCATCTTCAGGTGCTGGCAGATCTCCCTCCATCCAGGACGGGTACGCTCCACCTGGAACAAATTGTTAATCTACTGAGGGTACGTGGAACCTGGGACATATTGTTAATCTACTGACGGGTACGTGGAACCTGGGACAAATTGTTAATCTAGTGACGGGTACGCGGCATCTGGGACATATAGTTAATCTACTGACGGGTACGTGGAACCTGGGACAAATTGTTAATTTAGTGACGGGTAGGCGGAACCTGGGACAAATTGTTAATCTACTGACGGGTACGCGGCACCTGGGACAAATTGTTAATCTACTGACGGGTACGCGGCACCTGGGACAAATTGTTAATCTAGTGACGGGTACGCGGCATCTGGGACAAATTGTTAATCTACTGACGGGTACGCGCGGCACCTGGGACAAATTGTTAATCTAGTGACGGGTACGCGGCACATGGGACAAAATTGTTAATCTAGTGACGGGTACGCGGAACCTGGGACAAATTGTTAATCTAGTGACGGGTGGGCACTCGGTAAAAAACCTCATTTTTATAACAAATGGATATAAGGATGCATTGTATCACGTGGTGACCCCCTAGTAGTAGGCAGTGCGCCATCGACAATAAGACGCGCGCGCTGACCATTGAATGTTTTTTTTGCTCTTATTTCGGCCAGCACATTATTTTGGAAACAATCGAAAAGTTATTATACTTCCCATATAACAATTTTGTTGAAATTTGGTCAGCTTACGTAAACACTTATGTTCTACTGAACCTAATTTAGTTTGAGCAATTTCGATGCTCAGAATTTGAGTTATCAACGAATTTATACCTATTTTGTCATTTTTAGACCTCTTAATCAAGGCCAATCTCTCCCAACTAAATTAGGTTCGGTAATTAAGTATGATTGGAAGGTTCTAACAAATTTTCAGCATGATTTATGTTCAGGAACCGAAGATATGACAGAATAATACGACAAAAATCAACGAATTTCGTCAAATTACGCGACTTTTACACCTAATTTTGCTCCAAAAGCCGCGCACCATCAAATATGGCACCTAGGCGAAATTTACTGATCATTCCGAAAAGGTATGATAAATTTGCTACTGTGAAAATTCTCACAGTCTCTAGAAAACGATGGTACAAAAATTTTGAAAATCCGAGCAAGTTTATTTTTATCGTGCACCGCCTACTAGTAGAGGGCTCTTACTAAATCGCTCGCCCAAAAATTTCACGTGACTTTGGTTTTTTTGGTTTTGCAGCCGTACAAAACGGTTTTACATAAACCCTAATCCCAACCCTAACCCTAACCATAACCCCGAAGCTATCCATAATCTTAACCACAACCCTAACCCTAACCCGAGCCCTAAATAATCGAATTCACGATTTACTAGCCTGTCACGTGACCAAAACGGTTTTTTGCCCATAACTCTCCAGGGAAGCATTTTAACCTTACGTCATGGGGGGTGATTCGGAATCAGCGTCCAAAAATACACCGATCTAGATCACTTCCATGCCTAAAGGGCCTTTTCACAAGAATTTTCTTAAAATTTGGGCGAGCGATTTAGTAGGAGCGCTAGTAGAGTTTCGGCGATACAGGGGGAGCCGCGCACGCGTGCGCGGCGGGTCATACAACGTATGACAAAGGATGCATAGATTTCTAAGTAATTAATGGCTTGGCTGGTAACAACAGCACCGATGATCTTGAAGTTAGACTACAACTAAAGAGCATAGTAATATTGAAGGTAGACTACAACTAAAGATCATAGTAATATTGATTAACCAGGTAACCTGGTAACCAGGTAACCAGGTAACCAGGTAACCAGGTAACCAGGTAATATTGCTGCTCACCTCCGTAGTTATTGTCAGGCTGGTAGGTGGGCATAGTACCGTGTCCAACAGTAAGTCTGTACCAGCCCTTCTTAACGGTATTATCGTTAGAGTTACTCTGAGATCTGATTGTAGGATTAATAATAAGTCTCCACCTATCATCCAACTCTCTAGCGTCCTTGCACTGGTCCTGGGCTACACAGAAACCGTAATTATAGTTGGCTGGTTTCTGCATCTGGTAAACGTAGTAACTACCACAGTTCCTAACTCTGGCAAACTTGCAGGCCTGCCCTTCGTTTGTCATACTCGTCGAGAAACAGATCTGCAGAGAGTTGGTCACTTTCACTTTCACTTTCACTATAAACACTATAATCACTTTGGTTCAGTTTGGTGTGCGATACTTTGACATATTAATAGTCAAACTCATGCATATTTATCAAAAATATTAAAACGACACAAGCTTGATAATTATGTAATCAAGTGTAATTTCATACATTGTAGTTTTTGATTCCTTCTTGTCGGGTAGGGTGAGTTCCTTGCAGATAACCAGGATAGACGAACCCACAGCTGGAGATATGGTTACTTAGCTAACAAACGAAAAAGTAACCAGATATATTATTATCTTTCTTAAATCGAGGAAGATCAGTTTCGCAAAGCGATCTCATGAACATATCAGTAAGGAAGAGAGAACTAGCAGTGTACGTGACAGAAAGAGCAACAAAGCAGCAGTGAAAAGTTTACCTGTTGATAGACATGGAGTATTCCGGCATTTTACCCAGGAATGCAGTGAAGCGGTACCAGTTTCCTGGTGTTAGCTGGGTGTCGTCATGTCTAGCAGTGGCATCGTACACATTAGTCTCACCTCTCCACTCCTCGTCCAGCTCCTGATAACAAGTACACATTAGTCTCACCTCTCCACTCCTCGTCCAGCTCCTGATAACAAGTACACATTAGTCTCACCTCTCCACTCCTCGTCCAGCTCCTGATAACAAGTACACATTAGTCTCACCTCTCCACTCCTCGTCCAGCTCCTGATAACAAGTACACATTAGTCTCACCTCTCCACTCCTCGTCCAGCTCCTGATAACAAGTACACATTAGTCTCACCTCTCCACTCCTCGTCCAGCTCCTGATAACAAGTACACATTAGTCTCACCTCTCCACTCCTCGTCCAGCTCCTGATAACAAGTACACATTAGTCTCACCTCTCCACTCCTCGTCCAGCTCCTGATAACAAGTACACATTAGTCTCACCTCTCCACTCCTCGTCCAGCTCCTGATAACAAGTACACATTAGTCTCACCTCTCCACTCCTCGTCCAGCTCCTGATAACAAGTACACATTAGTCTCACCTCTCCACTCCTCGTCCAGCTCCTGATAACAAGTACACATTAGTCTCACCTCTCCACTCCTCGTCCAGCTCCTGATAACAAGTACACATTAGTCTCACCTCTCCACTCCTCGTCCAGCTCCTGATAACAAGTACACATTAGTCTCACCTCTCCACTCCTCGTCCAGCTCCTGATATCAAGTATACGTCAAATTAGAATTATTTAAATTTTCTTGTGAGATTGATATGAAGTGACATGACATAATTTAATCAGATAACTATCGTGTCTCAACACTGAAATCCATAATTCTAGAACAATTCCAAATCAGTTACAACTTCGAGCTGCGGACTTTCAACCGCGGACTAAATTAAACCCGGTAACTAACAGTGTAATGAACTAATAATGTAACTAACAGTGTAATGATCTAATAATGTAACTAACAGTGTAATGAACTAATAATGGAACTAACACTGTAATGAACTAATAATGTAACTAACAGTGTAATGAACTAATAATGTAACTAACAGTGTAATGAACTAATAATGTAACTAACAGTGTAATGAACTAATAATGTAACTAACAGTGTAATGAACTAATAATGTAACTAACAGTGTAATGAACTAATAATGTAACTAACAGTGTAATGAACTAATAATGTAACTAACAGTGTAATGAACTAATAATGTAACTAACAGTGTAATGAACTAATAATGTAACTAACAGTGTAATGAACTAATAATGTAACTAACAGTGTAATGAACTAATAATGTAACTAACAGTGTAATGAACTAATAATGTAACTAACAGTGTAATGAACTAATAATGTAACTAACAGTGTAATGAACTAATAATGTGACTAACACTGTAATGAACTAATAATGTAACTAACAGTGTAATGAACTAATAATGTAACTAACAGTGTAATGAACTAATAATGTAACTAACAGTGTAATGAACTAATAATGTAACTAACAGTGTAATGAACTAATAATGTAACTAACAGTGTAATGAACTAATAATGTAACTAACAGTGTAATGAACTAATAATGTAACTAACAGTGTAATGAACTAATAATGTAACTAACAGTGTAATGAACTAATAATGGAACTAACAGTGTAATGAACTAATAAGGGAACTAACAGTGTATAAGTCAGCGTTACACATGGAAGTAACGCCCTCCTGCACGCAGTATTTCTCATAGGTAGTAGTAGGGTAGAGCCTGTAGACGAAGTGAGCACCACAGTTCTTGACCAGCACATCTCTAGAGGTGGAGCAGCACTGATCAGCATCTCCGAAACACACCTTCCTCTCCACTATACCCTCTCCTACATCAGGATGTGGTTGGGACAGGTAACCTGGGGGATAGTCCGGCAAATAAGACATTGTAAGACTTTACAAAGTTGTAGTGTATAGTTTAGAACGGCTGATTGAGGAGCACTACCCGGAGGCATTACCCGGCACTAGCGCCTTAAAATCTTTTATTACATTCAAAAATTAATGTATGCACACATGTATAAATATGATAACGCTATTAGCGTATAAATATGATAACGCTATTAGCAAATTTAGATAGTACTATTACAAAGTTTCTGGTATCTGGATTAGCAAGTTAGTTTAGTGAAACTAACCTGGTTTGACTAAACTAACCTGGTTTGACTAAACTAACCTGGTTTGACTAAACTAACCTGGTTTGACTAAACTAACCTGGTTTGACTAAACTAACCTGGTTTGACTAAACTAACCTGGTTTGACTAAACTAACCTGGTTTGACTAAACTAACCTGGTTTGACTAAACTAACCTGGTTTGACTAAACTAACCTGGTTTGACTAAACTAACCTGGTTTGACTAAACTAACCTGGTTTGACTAAACTAACCTGGTTTGACTAAACTAACCTGGTTTGACTAAACTAACCTGGTTTGACTAAACTAACCTGGTTTGACTAAACTAACCTGGTTTGACTAAACTAACCTGGTTTGACTAAACTAACCTGGTTTGACTAAACTAACCTGGTTTGACTAAACTAACCTGGTTTGACTAAACTAACCTGGTTTGACTAAACTAACCTGGTTTGAGAGATCCACAAGATTCAGCAATAGGGCACTTCTCAGGCATCTTCTCGAATCCGTTTGTGAACCTGTACCACCCACGGGGCAGGGAGCGGTCATCTGTTTGGGCGATCTTGCCCCAAGCGTTCACAAGTCGGTGACCCTCGTCGAGTTCCTGAATAGTGTGCTGTTATTGTCAACCTTTTTCAAAACTAGTTCCTGAATAGTGTGCTGTTATTGTTAACCTTTTCAAAACTAGTTCCTAAAGAGTGTGCTGTTATTGTTAACCTTTTCAAAACTAGTTCCTAAAGAGTGTGCTGTTATTGTTAACCTTTTCAAAACTAGTTCCTAAAGAGTGTGCTGTTATTGTTAATCTTTTCAAAACTAGTTCCTAAAGAGTGTGCTGTTATTGTTAACCTTTTCAAAACTAGTTCCTAAAGAGTGTGCTGTTATTGTTAACCTTTTCAAAACTAGTTCCTAAAGAGTGTGCTGTTATTGTTAACCTTTTCAAAACTAGTTCCTGAATACTGAATAGTGTGCTGTTATTGTTAACCTTTTCAAAACTAGTTCCTGAAGAGTGTGCTGTTATTGTTAACCTTTTCAAAACTAGTTCCTAAAGAGTGTGCTGTTATTGTTAACCTTTTCAAAACTAGTTCCTGAATAGTGTGCTGTTATTGTTAACCTTTTCAAAACTAGTTCCTAAAGAGTGTGCTGTTATTGTTAACCTTTTCAAAACTAGTTCCTGAATAGTGTGCTGTTATTGTTAACCTTTTCAAAACTAGTTCCTAAAGAGTGTGCTGTTATTGTTAACCTTTTCAAAACTAGTTCCTAAAGAGTGTGCTGTTATTGTTAACCTTTTCAAAACTAGTTCCTAAAGAGTGTGCTGTTATTGTTAACCTTTTCAAAACTAGTTCCTAAAGAGTGTGCTGTTATTGTTAACCTTTTCAAAACTAGTTCCTGAATAGTGTGCTGTTATTGTTAACCTTTTCAAAACTAGTTCCTAAAGAGTGTGCTGTTATTGTTAACCTTTTCAAAACTAGTTCCTGAATAGTGTGCTGTTATTGTTAACCTTTTCAAAACTAGTTCCTAAAGAGTGTGCTGTTATTGTTAACCTTTTCAAAACTAGTTCCTAAAGAGTGTGCTGTTATTGTTAACCTTTTCAAAACTAGTTCCTAAAGAGTGTGCTGTTATTGTTAACCTTTTCAAAACTAGTTCCTGAATAGTGTGCTGTTATTGTTAACCTTTTCAAAACTAGTTCCTGAATAGTGTGCTGTTATTGTTAACCTTTTCAAAACTAGTTCCTAAAGAGTGTGCTGTTATTGTTAACCTTTTCAAAACTAGTTCCTAAAGAGTGTGCTGTTATTGTTAACCTTTTCAAAACTAGTTCCTAAAGAGTGTGCTGTTATTGTTAACCTTTTCAAAACTAGTTCCTGAATAGTGTGCTGTTATTGTTAACCTTTTCAAAACTAGTTCCTAAAGAGTGTGCTGTTATTGTTAACCTTTTCAAAACTAGTTCCTGAATAGTGTGCTGTTATTGTTAACCTTTTCAAAACTAGTTCCTAAAGAGTGTGCTGTTATTGTTAACCTTTTCAAAACTAGTTCCTGAATAGTGTGCTGTTATTGTTAACCCCATTTGCTCCCCATTGCATCTGGTCCGAGTCTGTTAGCACAGATCACCTGGGAGTGGTAACACCATAAAACCGTTAATTGCCTGTCAGTGCTATATCACTGGGGGGTCGGTTGCTGTGGTGGCGAGAGGATGCAATTGCTGGGTGGTGCTCGGTGATGCTGTCTTGTGGCAGGGTCATCTGTGTGTCACTCACGGTTCACCATTTTGTCCAAGTCTTGGTTGCCCTGTGTAATCGAGCATTTGCTTGGTGATCTTGTCTCTGACATGATCACTTACGGTTTAATTTTGATTCCCTATGGGCTTCAGAAGCTCTTCATGCTTTAATTTAACGTATCGAACCTAACCACCAGCTTGCTGGTGTCTGGACGGAGCGCTAACTTCTTGATGTCGGTGCTGCCTCTGGATCGGGTGCGAAGGTCCGGCAAACCATCCACCTTAAATCAAACCGCTACAGAAACGTCTACAGTGTCATTCAATAGTATTATACGTGGAGGCGCAGGTGGAGTGATGACGGCGACTAGGCAAAGCCGAAAGGACCCTAGTAGCTTGATGTCTGTTTGCAACTCCCGTAAGAGCCGACGTAAACACTGTAAATACAGAATTCCTTCATCAGATTTGTCATTTGTAAACAGACAGTCAAGTATGTCTAATCCTGTAAATATTGTAAAGAATCCTCTCTGTATCAGTACATGGAATGTTACTTCTCTTGTCAGTAATTCCAGTAAGATGTATCAATTAGGAAAAGGTGTTGATGATTATGGACTAGAGCTCCTTGGGGTAACTGAAACACATATGGCTGGATCAGGAACTCAGACTTTGAGCAATGGGGCTGTTTTGGTTTATTCTGGCAGGAGCGATGGAGTACGGAGAGAAGGAGTTGGTGTTGTTCTTTCCAAAAAGATGAAGAATACTCTCATATCATACACCCCTGTATCAGGACGGGTTATGACTGCCCGTTTACATAGCAAACACATCAACATTAGTGTTACAGTTGTGTATGCTCCAACTGAGGATGCAGAAATCAGTTTAAAAGACTCATTCTACAAGGAATTGAATGATGTTCAATCGGGACTACCTGCCCATGATATAAAAATAGTTTTAGGAGATTTTAATGCTCGTGTTGGAAGGGATACTGATGCTCACCCTGGTGTTATAGGAAAACACTCATATCACACAGAATCAAATGATAACGGAAAACGGATGCTAGATTTCTGTACTATGCACCAGCTGACGATTGGAGGCACACTCTTTGAACACAAGGATATCCACAAGACAACATGGAGATCCCCAAATGGTAACACCGTCACTCAAATTGACCATATGTGTATTTCGACGAGATGGAGCCATTCTTTGCTTGATGTCAGGAGCATGAGAGGAGCAGATATAAATACTACTCACTATCTGGTTAGAGGATATGTATCTATTAAACTTAAGTGTCCTCAGAAAAGAAAGAAGCGTGTAAGACAGCCTGCTTTAGAGCACCTGCGTGATAGATCTAAGAGCCAGGAATATAGTAACAGAATAGCTGAAGAGTACTATAACAACGATCAGGAGCATGGAAACTCTCCTTTAGAAGAACAGTGGCAAAATTTAAGAGATATAATAACTGATGTTTCATTTGAAGTTCTGGGTGAAAGGGGCCGGAAAAAGAGAACAGAACATCTCTCAAGGGATACTAAGAATCTCCTAAAAGAACGAGGGGAGATTAAAAAGAAACCCAGTACTGCTGAGAACCGTGCTAAGTACTCGCGGATTAACGGTCTTGTTAGGCAGAACTGTAAAAGAGATGATAATGCTTGGGCTGTTAGAATAGCTGAGGAATTAGAAGATGCTGCCAAGCAGGGTCAACAAAGAGATGTTTGGCAGAAAATAAAATCCCTAACAAACAAGAGAGTAAACAGATCTGCGGCAGTGCGGGATAAGAATGGGACGCTTATATCAGATCCCGAAGCTCAATCACATCGCTGGGCCGAATATTTTGAAGAACTCTTGACGCCAGCAGCAAATGCGGTGGATTTCTCTATATTGGATCAGGATGAAAAGTTACTTTCTTTTGAATACCTTAGTAATGATGATGAACCACCGTCCTTGTTTGAAATTGAGGAAGCTATCAAGAAGTTGAAGAACTACAAGAGTGCTGGAATTGATGAAATTTCAAATGAGCAGTTAAAGTACGGTTCTCCTGGACTTCTGCCTTGGTTAAAGGATCTTTTTGAAACTGTGTGGAAAAGTGAGGATATTCCTAATGATTGGAGAAAAGGAATAATCACCATCATCCCAAAGAAAGGGGACCTCACATATTGCAACAATAACAGAGGTATAACTTTACGCTCAACTATATCAAAGTTATTCCAAATTGTGTTGTTAAAAAGACTGAGTAATGGGCTTGAAAAATTACTCAGAGAGAATCAGTGTGGTTTCAGGAGAAACCGTTCTTGTATAGATCAGCTGTACTCACTTCATTGTATAATACACAATTGTATAGAATTCAACGTCCCTTTGTACATAAACTTTATTGATTTTAAAGCTGCTTTTGATTCAATCAATCGTGACTTTATTTGGAAAGCTTTTGAACATTATGGTCTTCCGACAAAATATATCAATGTTTTCAAAGCGTTCTTTAGAGCAACTGAAAGTGCAGTTCGTGTCAATGGAGAATTGACAAGATGGTTTGATGTCGATTCGGGGACTGGACAAGGTGATGTGCAAGGGCCCCCTATTTTTAATCTTGTACTTAACTGGGGATTAGAACTTGCAGAGAAGTTTAAGAATATATCCCGTGGTTTTACACTTCAGTACAGACAAAGTTCCAGACAACCGGAAAAATGTGTCATTGATCTTGACTATGCTGATGACATCGCAGGAATGGATGACACTGTTGAAGGACTGCAAGAAACTACGGACAATATTGCGAAATACTGTGGACTTGGGGGTTTAAAGATGAACGCAAAGAAAACAGAGATCATGGTCATTGGGAAAGATACATCGCAGCACCCACTCCCAGAGAATAGGACCATAGATATAACTGTCGATGGAAACTCTGCAAAGCAGGTCACTCAATTCACTTATTTGGGTGCCAAAATTACATCAGATGGCAAGATTGATAAAGAAATAAGTGTCAGGATTGGAAAAGCAACCGGAGCTTTTAACCAACTCAACAACATTTGGAAGAATAAGAACATAAGCATTAACAACAAAGTGCGAATCTACATCGCAGCTGTTCTTACCATTCTGACCTATGGATGTGAGATATGGAACACGACTCAAGTGCAGACAAGAAGATTGGAGTCTTTCCATCAGTACTGCTTAAGAAGAATCCTGAGAGTGAGGTGGTTCCATCGAGTAAGTAATGAGGATGTTTTAAGAAGGGCATCGATAACTGCCCTTGCTGACATAATAACAACAAAACGGCTGCGTTGGTTTGGACATGTCAGTAGAATGCCTGAAGATCGGTTGCCCAACTATTTACTTGAATGGAAACCCAAGCATGGGAAGAGATCAAGAGGCAGGCCTAGGAAGAGCTTAAATGATGTATTCATTGAGGATGCTGAGCAGAGATTGGATCGTAATGGACTCACGATTGATTGTATGAGAAGATTAGCTGCAGACCGAAAGGGATGGAGAAATGTTACCCGCCGAAGTTGTATAATACAAAGTAATGACGCAGTCGACGCAGACTAATCCTTTTGGATGGAGATCTCGCCATGTAACATGTATGTATTGTTAACCTTTTCAAAACTAGTTCCTAAAGAGTGTGCTGTTATTGTTAACCTTTTCAAAACTAGTTCCTGAATAGTGTGCTGTTATTGTTAACCTTTTCAAAACTAGTTCCTAAAGAGTGTGCTGTTATTGTTAACCTTTTCAAAACTAGTTCCTAAAGAGTGTGCTGTTATTGTTAACCTTTTCAAAACTAGTTCCTAAAGAGTGTGCTGTTATTGTTAACCTTTTCAAAACTAGTTCCTAAAGAGTGTGCTGTTATTGTTAATCTTTTCAAAACTAGTTCCTAAAGAGTGTGCTGTTATTGTTAACCTTTTCAAAACTAGTTCCTGAATAGTGTGCTGTTATTGTTAACCTTTTCAAAACTAGTTCCTAAAGAGTGTGCTGTTATTGTTAACCTTTTCAAAACTAGTTCCTGAATAGTGTGCTGTTATTGTTAACCTTTTCAAAACTCCATCTTTAAATTTAGAAGTAACGGACTTGTAATTAAACTAGAATAATACGGATATTTAATGATAAATGTAGCTGTAAATACACTGTACACTGTACACTGTACACTGTACACTGTACACTGTACACTGTACACTGTACACTGTACACTGTACACTGTACACTGTACACTGTACACTGTACACTGTACACTGTACACTGTACACTGTACACTGTACACTGTACACTGTACACTGTACACTGTACACTGTACACTGTACCCTCCGCTCTACTTACAGCAACGTCGGCCTTGCATACATCAGTATCAATACACAGTCCCCAATTATTCCACCAGTTAAAGTTCATGTTATAAACCATGTAGCTACCACAGTTCCTGCAATTTAAATACATAGTATCACAATTACAAGTTAAAACAAATAAAGAAGATGTACCTTCAAAAACGGGCAATTCAAACTCCCGAATCATAAATCATTTTGCAAGGTTTTAAAATAGCAATAAGAAACTAACTTGACGTATATGTCAGCCCGCTGGCCATTATAATTAGTGGCAGTAGTAGTGAAGGCAATAGTCCTCTTAACAACCCCATCCTCAGCAGAAGGGTGCGCTGTCAACATCCATCCTGGGTATTGGGTACCACAGGACTGGTACTCCTGCTGTATCTCCGTTATCTTGTTGTCTCCCACTCCTGTGAATCTGAACCATCCTCTGTAGGGAGAGATTTCCATTTTCCTGTAATCCTTCTTGTAGTCAGTTCCTTCTGTCTTTGTGTAGGCTAGTCTCCATGTTTCTCCGTCAAATACCTAGCATGTTGTATTATTAATGGGGTATTATTATGGGGTATTATGGGGTATTATGGGGTATTATTAATGGGTATTATGGGGTAGTATTATGGGGTGTTATTAATGGGTATTCAGCTTAAAGTTTACTTAGATACTCATTCGCCAAATCACCAAGTTTGAGTGTCCCCAATACTAACTTATTAGTTGCCAGGTTACTATGCTTAGTAACCAAGTGACAGACAATATGTTGCCAGGTTACTATTATGCTAAGTAACCATAATAACTTACCTCGTGGCTGTTAGCATCGCATACGTCCTCCTCTACACACATTTTCCTATTATCATGACGTACTGGAGCGTACAGGTACCTCATCTTACCATTGCAGTTCTTCATCTTGAGAGGCATGGGCTGGTAACACTGTTCATTAGCCATAGAGTCCCTGTAGCAGGCCCTACTGTCAATAACTCCCTCATTAGGTCCAGGAGCAGGATCCTCAACCCAACCAGCGTAGATAGCTCCACAGAAGTACTGAACAGGGGGCTGGTGAACAAGTATATTCTTGTGGATGTTCACTTCCATCCATGAGGGGATCGTGTAAACTCGGTAGTCAGCAAGGAATGATGCGTCGTTATAGTGACCGGTTCCTAAGGAATGATGCGTCGTTATAGTGACCGGTTCCTAAGGAATGATGCGTTGTTATAGTGACCGGTTCCTAAGGAATGATGCGTTGTTATAGTGACCGGTTCCTAAGGAATGATGCGTTGTTATAGTGACCGGTTCCTAAGGAATGATGCGTTGTTATAGTGACCGGTTCCTAAGGAATGATGCGTCGTTATAGTGACCGGTTCCTAAGGAATGATGCGTCGTTATAGTGACCGGTTCCTAAGGAATGATGCGTTGTTATAGTGACCGGTTCCTAAGGAATGATGCGTTGTTATAGTGACCGGTTCCTAAGGAATGATGCGTTGTTATAGTGACCGGTTCCTAAGGAATGATGCGTTGTTATAGTGACCGGTTCCTAAGGAATGATGCGTTGTTATAGTGACCGGTTCCTAAGGAATGATGCGTCGTTATAGTGACCGGTTCCTAAGGAATGATGCGTCGTTATAGTGACCGGTTCCTAAGGAATGATGCGTCGTTATAGTGACCGGTTCCTAAGGAATGATGCGTCGTTATAGTGACCGGTTCCTGACCAGAGGATTGATTTTATTAAATCACTTTGTTACGTTAACTGTTACATTTATTCAGGTTTACCAACTTCTCTTTTCTTATCAGTTCAATTTGTTTCTGGAATTTCGTGCAATTGAGGATTCCACTAAAGGTTTCATTTTAGCACATTGCTTGTCTAATTAAAAAAAGATAATAGTCAGCTTGAAGTTGAACTAAGTAATGAGAGTATCGGGTAAGTATTATCTAAACATTGAACTTGTAACGAAAGACAGCTCCGAGTGGGAATGTTGAGATCTAATTACAACACTACAAATCTATTATATTTATTAAGGACGTTACAGAAGGAATTAATTTAATGTAGTTGGAGGAGTCCTAACTCTCCTCATGTCTGAAAATTGCCACTAACCGTGTCTCTGGTCAGTGAAGTGCTTTATAGAGGAATCAGGGATATTACACACATCATCTGGTGACTCGTCAATACAGTAGCCATAAAGGTGAGTCGTGGTGACTAGTCTGTAGAGGTAGAACTGTTTGTTGTTCCTTTCACAAGATACCACCTGTGAGTTAGTTAGTTAGTTAGTTAGTTAGTTAGTTAGTTAGTTAGTTAGTTAGTTAGTTAGTTAGTTAGTTAGTTAGTTAGTTAGTTAGTTAGTTAGTTAGTTAGTTAGTTAGTTAGTTAGTTAGTTAGTTAGTTAGTTAGTTAGTTAGTTAGTTAGTTAGTTAGTTAGTTAGTTAGTTAGTTAGTTAGTTAGTTAGTTAGTTAGTTAGTTAGTTAGTTAGTTAGTTAGTTAGTTAGTTAGTTAGTTAGTTAGTTAGTTAGTTAGTTAGTTAGTTAGTTAGTTAGTTAGTTAGTTAGTTAGTTAGTTAGTTAGTTAGTTAGTTAGTTAGTTAGTTAGTTAGTTAGTTAGTTAGTTAGTTAGTTAGTTAGTTAGTTAGTTAGTTAGTTAGTTAGTTAGTTAGTTAGTTAGTTAGTTAGTTAGTTAGTTAGTTAGTTAGTTAGTTAGTTAGTTAGTTAGTTAGTTAGTTAGTTAGTTAGTTAGTTAGTTAGTTAGTTAGTTAGTTAGTTAGTTAGTTAGTTAGTTAGTTAGTTAGTTAGTTAGTTAGTTAGTTAGTTAGTTAGTTAGTTAGTTAGTTAGTTAGTTAGTTAGTTAGTTAGTTAGTTAGTTAGTTAGTTAGTTAGTTAGTTAGTTATTTAGTTAGTTAGTTAGTTAGTTAGTTAGTTAGTGGTGGAGATACTGAGATGACAGCTATATTTTAGTTCGTCATATGTTTTATTTAATACAACATTTCTGAATGTTTTTATTTAGACTCAGTGAGTTGTCATGTACCTTGATATTCTTGGAAGCAGCACAACAGTTTCCTTTAGTGCTGGTTAAGAAGCAAACCTTCCTGTCCACCACTCTGTCAGCGGGGACGGGGTGTTCTCCCTCCATCCAACCTGGAGGGATTGTTAATGTTAGCGGGGTGTTCTCCCTCCATCCAACCTGGAGGGATTGTTAATGTTAGCGGGGTGTTCTTCCTCCATCCAACCTGGAGGGATTGTTAACGTTAGCGGGGTGTTCTCCCTCCATCCAACCTGGAGGGATTGTTAATGTTAGCGGGATGTTCTTCCTCCATCCAACCTGGAGGGATTGTTAATGTTAGCGGGGTGTTCTCCCTCCATCCAACCTGGAGGGATTGTTAATGTTAGCGGGGTGTTCTTCCTCCATCCAACCTGGAGGGATTGTTAATGTTAGCGGGGTGTTCTCCCTCCATCCAACCTGGAGGGATTGTTAATGTTAGCGGGGTGTTCTTCCTCCATCCAACCTGGAGGGATTGTTAATGTTAGCGGGGTGTTCTCCCTCCATCCAACCTGGAGGGATTGTTAATGTTAGCGGGGTGTTCTCCCTCCATCCAACCTGGAGGGATTGTTAATGTTAGCGGGGTGTTCTTCCTCCATCCAACCTGGAGGGATTGTTAATGTTAGCGGGGTGTTCTCCCTCCATCCAACCTGGAGGGATTGTTAATGTTAGCGGGGTGTTCTTCCTCCATCCAACCTGGAGGGATTGTTAATGTTAGCGGGATGTTCTTCCTCCATCCAACCTGGAGGGATTGTTAATGTTAGCGGGGTGTTCTCCCTCCATCCAACCTGGAGGGATTGTTAATGTTAGCGGGGTGTTCTCCCTCCATCCAACCTGGAGGGATTGTTAATGTTAGCGGGGTGTTCTTCCTCCATCCAACCTGGAGGGATTGTTAATGTTAGCGGGGTGTTCTCCCTCCATCCAACCTGGAGGGATTGTTAACGTTAGCGGGGTGTTCTCCCTCCATCCAACCTGGAGGGATTGTTAATGTTAGCGGGATGTTCTTCCTCCATCCAACCTGGAGGGATTGTTAATGTTAGCGGGGTGTTCTCCCTCCATCCAACCTGGAGGGATTGTTAATGTTAGCGGGGTGTTCTTCCTCCATCCAACCTGGAGGGATTGTTAATGTTAGCGGGGTGTTCTCCCTCCATCCAACCTGGAGGGATTGTTAATGTTAGCGGGGTGTTCTTCCTCCATCCAACCTGGAGGGATTGTTAACGTTAGCGGGATGTTCTTCCTCCATCCAACCTGGAGGGATTGTTAATGTTAGCGGGGTGTTCTCCCTCCATCCAACCTGGAGGGATTGTTAATGTTAGCGGGGTGTTCTTCCTCCATCCAACCTGGAGGGATTGTTAATGTTAGCGGGGTGTTCTCCCTCCATCCAACCTGGAGGGATTGTTAATGTTAGCGGGGTGTTCTTCCTCCATCCAACCTGGAGGGATTGTTAATGTTAGCGGGATGTTCTTCCTCCATCCAACCTGGAGGGATTGTTAATGTTAGCGGGGTGTTCTCCCTCCATCCAACCTGGAGGGATTGTTAATGTTAGCGGGGTGTTCTCCCTCCATCCAACCTGGAGGGATTGTTAATGTTAGCGGGGTGTTCTTCCTCCATCCAACCTGGAGGGATTGTTAATGTTAGCGGGGTGTTCTCCCTCCATCCAACCTGGAGGGATTGTTAACGTTAGCGGGGTGTTCTCCCTCCATCCAACCTGGAGGGATTGTTAATGTTAGCGGGGTGTTCTTCCTCCATCCAACCTGGAGGGATTGTTAATGTTAGCGGGGTGTTCTTCCTCCATCCAACCTGGAGGGATTGTTAATGTTAGCGGGATGTTCTCCCTCCATCCAACCTGGAGGGATTGTTAATGTTAGCGGGGTGTTCTTCCTCCATCCAACCTGGAGGGATTGTTAATGTTAGCGGGGTGTTCTCCCTCCATCCAACCTGGAGGGATTGTTAACGTTAGCGGGGTGTTCTTCCTCCATCCAACCTGGAGGGATTGTTAATGTTAGCGGGGTGTTCTCCCTCCATCCAACCTGGAGGGATTGTTAATGTTAGCGGGGTGTTCTTCCTCCATCCAACCTGGAGGGATTGTTAATGTTAGCGGGGTGTTCTCCCTCCATCCAACCTGGAGGGATTGTTAATGTTAGCGGGGTGTTCTCCCTCCATCCAACCTGGAGGGATTGTTAACGTTAGCGGGGTGTTCTCCCTCCATCCAACCTGGAGGGATTGTTAATGTTAGCGGGGTGTTCTCCCTCCATCCAACCTGGAGGGATTGTTAATGTTAGCGGGGTGTTCTCCCTCCATCCAACCTGGAGGGATTGTTAATGTTAGCGGGGTGTTCTCCCTCCATCCAACCTGGAGGGATTGTTAACGTTAGTGGGGAGTTCTTCCTCCCCCTCGGTCTGAGAGAATTATTCTATAATGAGAATAACTAATCAACTTTGTTTTATAATCACACAACGTAGAAAGATGGGGATTGATTGATATCAGTTTGATGATGGGTAGGGTGGGAAGGGGACGCGGCATTTTTTCCGAATTGTAAGACGTATTCTTAAAAGAAAAAACGTATTTCATTCCATATTGAAGTAGCCTGAATCCAGAGTTGTAACTTTGTGGGTATATAAAATTACATATCTGAAGTGTGTTATCCTCATTGGATACCTGGTGCTGGTAAATGTGGTGTATACTGTATAGTGGGTACTATGATGTGGGGCACGTGTACAGGGTATTATAGTCACTGCTCCTGTCTTCAGTTAGTTGTACAGTTATATACATTTGGTTTGTGTTTTTTTGCAGTGGTTGGCACGTGGTTATTTGCCCCTTCTATGCTAATTTCCAGTGATGTTAACAATGATTTATGTGTATTAACATATTTATCTAATTAATTAATTATTTAATTAATTAAACCTCCTCCTCCAGACCTGTATGGTGGAGAGTATAACCCCTACAACCCCTAACAGAGGACCCGTCACCCAGGTCACATTATCTAGTTGTTATCTAGTTATATCTAGATATTATTTAGTTGTTTCTTTCTCATTGTCATTAAAAATCAAGTTAGACTGTATTGCACCTCATTTAATTCTAATTTTAAAATATTTTGATTTTGTAATCAATTTGTTAAATTTAAAACGAAACTAGGAGTGGACACTGACAAAAGTAGAGTATGAGCTGGAGAAGCAGGAACTAAAGATAGGTCACTATTTTAGAGTTAGGTTTTAAAGATAGGTCACTATTTTAGAGTTAGGTTTTAAAGATAGGTCACTATTTTAGAGTTACGTTTTAAAGATAGGTCAATATTTTAGAGTTCTTTATTATTATGGAGGGTCAGAATTCATATTAAATTTTAGGGTTACAGTCATTTATTAGGTAACTATAACTTTAATAATAGAATACTTGTACTAAGTACTATATACCTCCAGTGCGACATGATATTGGAGGTGTTACAGTGAGCAATGGCGGTAGTGGCAGTTTCGCTGCCTCAGGGAGCAATGTCCAGTCAACAGAGTTAACTGTTAACTCTGGTAATTACACCTAATTAGTTACACCTAATTAATTACACCTAATTAATTACACCTAATTAATTACACCTAATTAATTACACCTAATTAATTACACCTAATTAATTACACCTAATTAATTACACCTAATTAATTACACCTAATTAATTACACCTAATTAATTACACCTAATTAATTACACCTAATTAATTACACCTAATTAATTACACCTAATTAATTACACCTAATTAATTACACCTAATTAATTACACCTAATTAATTGCACCTAATTAATTGCACCTAATTAATTACACCTAATTAATTACACCTAATTAATTACACCTAATTAATTACACCTATCACTTTTACTTGTAACATGGTACTGTCTGTAGTTCTCGGTTTTACAATTCTTATGACCGAGTAAAAGTAGTAAATATAACACTGCTCAGGATTAGAAGTAGTATACGGAGTGTCCATGAAGATGGTGGTGCCAGTTGTATCTGATGACGGCGTACCCTCTATCTCTAACACACCAGACACCCTGTTAGCCGGGCAATCCAACCAGAGTTACAGCAGTTACAAAGGTTCTTGGAACTGTAGAGCCGACCCAGGGCAGACAAAGACTTGCAGGGCTTACATTAACGAGTTCAAGGTGACCACACCTTACAAACAAACCTGGCGAGAACCAGGACAAGAGAGTTACTCTGAAAGTACTGGGGTGCTGGTTCAGCAGCTGTGGGGACAACCCATCCTCATAAACTAGATCTGGTGGCCAACCAATAACCGTCTACATAACACTGGGCTATTCTAAATCTAAAGATTGGATGCAGGGCGCAGGCCATACAAATTAGTTTAGTCTAAGTTTTTTCTTTGTTTTTTTTTCAAGATACATATTGTATTTGCAATTATCTACGTGTTTTAGTTGTACCAATATTTAGTTGTACAAGATGGGATTATTATTGCCTTCTTAAAGTACTGTAATAATAATTGATCAGTATGAAGAAATTTAAAATCGGCTAAGAAATAAGAGCTTTAGGACCTGAATGTTGGACCCCGAAGTGGGGTCAAAATCACTAAATAAATAAACATTGATAGCAGGATTAAAACGGTTCCTGCTAGTAATTATAAACCTTCGGCACAATTTAATGTATCGCTAAAAATGAAGCACTGTTATGAACAATTCGGTAAGCTGGGCTGGCAGTTGATAGGTATGACAAATTCGGAAACGTTAGACAGTCTAACACATAGTTTTCCCGGAAGGATATTAAAAAGTTAAGACTATTGATCAGATAAGTGAAAGTGAAAGTGAAAGTGAACTTACCTGGATTCCGTGTACCACACGACATGTAACCAGGACATTCAGTTGGCAAGCGACCAAGTCCTGTTGTGATCTTGACCCATTTGCTTCCCAAAGTATTATCGGTTTTCTGTGTTGTGCTGTAAGGAAAATACAAAATTTTCTTTTAGTTAAGCAATAATCAATATGTGTGCTGTTTCGCGGAAAAGGGTAGGAGTAATTGATAAAAAGTAATTGATTGTAATTGATAAAAAGTAATTGATTGTAATTGATAAAAAGTGGGTTACACTGACTTGACTTTCTGGCTAACTATTAAGTAACAGCCTGGAAAGAAGAGTTCTGTAATATTGGTACCTGTAGTAACCGGTGGTGGATGTGTGTTGGAGCCGGTGGTTCTCTTCCCTTCCCCACTCTTCTGCCGCTATATCACATACGTCAGCATCTGGAGAACAGAAAACCCGTTATTTACATTTTAAATGTATCTGTTGGTTAGAGGAATAAGTTTTGAATATCTTCCACTTTTGGGTGGGCCAAAAGTCAGTACCCATATGTTGGCCTTAGTAGCTCAGTCACTGAGTGCCCAATTGAAATAATTCTTTCTGGTATGACTTACTACCACCACTGGTTCGAGGAATTTGTCAAATTGAAAAATATTGGTGTTCATTTTAAAAAAATTAAGGTTCATTTTCGCATTTATTTGATAGTTTGGATAGTCGGATCGAGCCAAATTTTATTGAATAGTGTTTGGCAATTCGAATTACGTTTGTCTTGAAAAATGAGAGCTGTAGCTTCTCAGATCACCGAGATACGAAGCATAACGAGTTTATTCATTACGTGTGATCAGGTGATTGGCTTACCTAATCACGTGATAAGGTGACCCCGTTAACCACCCGTTAAACATTATGGGAATCGTTAAGGATGCCCAATTAAGGTGTCGTGTCTCGGTGTCACATAATCACCCAGTCAATTTTGTTAACGAGATACACAAAATGCTTGATAACTTCGTCATTTCAAATCCGTTTCACATCATTTTTTCAGATCAGATGCAACATTTAATAATCTACCGTCTTTGAAAAAATTAGGCGTCCAGCATGTTCAGAGAGAACAATATAGATGTTTTAATATTGAATGGGCTGGGTTTAAAATATTCGAATTTTCAAATTTTGGCGACCGAATCCTCGAACAAGTGTGTACAGTATGCCATCTGCAAAGCAACAACTCTCAAATATAAAACACAGCGGAGGTATAAGACCCAACGTATGGGTACTGACTTTTGGCCCACCCTGTATATATTGTATACCAGTTTAATGAGTCATCAGAGTGTAATTATAATAGTGCTAGCTATCATGGTGTTAGCTGATAATAATAATTACCTGCACAATATCCGTAATGATAGTTGGGGGTAGGTAGAAGATGATAGACGTAGAATCCACCAGGACACTTCTTAACTTTCGCGGGTTTCTCATAGTTACACGTAGAAGCTTCACTATGTACGAAACAATATTTTCCTGAATAAAGGGGTTCCTTATTTAAAAAATGTTTTTCTAGGAGTGAAAGAGTAATATACAAAATTTTCATCTGAATTAGTCTTAAAGTTTATAACTTAAGTGGATTTACCAAATCGTTAAGGAAATATTTAATATAACTTGTTTTAATCGTGATTCAAAGGTAGTTTTAAGAGAACTGGTAAACTAATATAAGAGAACTGATAGACTAATATAAGAGAACTGATAGACTAATATAAGAGAACTGATAGACTAATATAAGAGAACTGATAGATTAATATAAGAGAACTGACAGACTAATATCAGAGAACTGATAGACTAATATAAGAGAAATGATAGACTAATATAGGAGAACTGATAGACTAATATAAGAGAACTGATAGACTAATATAAGAGAACTGATAGACTAATATAAGAGAACTGATAGACTAATATAAGAGAACTGATAGACTAATATAAGAGAACTGGTAGACTAATATAAGAGAACTGATAGACTAATATAAGAGAACTGATAGACTAATATAAGAGAACTGATAGACTAATATAAGAGAACTGGTAGACTAATATAAGAGAACTGATAGACTAATATAAGAGAACTGATAGACTAATATAAGAGAACTGATAGACTAATATAAGAGAACTGATAGACTAATATAGAGAACTGATAGACTAATATAAGAGAACTGATAGACTAATATAGAGAACTGATAGACTAATATAAGAGAACTGATAGACTAATATAAGAGAACTGATAGACTAATATAAGAGAACTGATAGACTAATATAAGAGAACTGATAGACTAATATAAGAGAACTGATAGACTAATATAAGAGAACTGATAGACTAATATAAGAGAACTGACAGACTAATATAAGAGAACTGTTAGACTTATATCAGAGAACTAATAGACTAATATCAGAGAACTGATACACTAATATAAGATAACTAATAGACTAATATCAGAGAACTGATACACAAATATAAGAGAACTAATAGACTAATATAAGAGAACTGACAGACTAATATAAGAGAACTGATAGACTAATATATGAGAACTGATAGACTAATATCAGAGAACTGATAGACTAATATAAGAGAACTGACAGACTAATATAAGAGAACTGATAGTCTAATATCAGAGAACTGATAGAATAATATAAGAGAACTGATAGACTAATATCAGAGAACTGATAGACTAATATAAGAGAACTGATAGACTAATATAAGAGAACTGATAGACTAATATAGAAGAACTGATAGACTAATATAAGAGAACTGATAGACTAATATAAGAGAACTAATAGACTAATATAAGAGAACTGATAGACTAATATAAGAGAACTGATAGACTAATATCAGAGAACTGATAGACTAATATCAGAGAACTAATAGACTAATATCAGAGAACTGATAGACTAATATTACATTTTTGAAGAGTAATATGAATGTCTAACCATTAACAATGTCCCCGGCTTCAGCAGGCATCTCCCCGTTGTACCATCCAGAGTTTCTGTTTCCACAGCTGGTCGCATCTGGTGCAAATCTAGGCATAACTCCAAGTCCTGACTCTATCCTAACCCATCTTGGACCGCTGGATAGAGATTTGGATTAGGTCAAAATTAGAAGGTGGTCCAAATTAACACAATGTTAATTTCTGTGTGTGCTTCCTACTAGTTATTTGAGGTTCACCTTCTCTTGAGATTTAACCTTATATCTACTAAATGTTACGACGTAACCCACTCAAGACATGTTCTTATGACCCGGTTTTGTCGTTGTAGTTAATAACTCACCCTGTGTGGTCGTTGTTGTTGATAACTCACCCTGTGTGGTCGTTGTTGTTGATAACTCACCCTGTGTGGTTGTTGTCGTTGATAACTCACCCTGTGTGGTCGTTGTTGTTGATAACTCACCCTGTGTGGTCGTTGTCGTTGATAACTCACCCTGTGTGGTTGTTGTCGTTGATAACTCACCCTGTGTGGTCGTTGTCGTTGATAACTCACCCTGTGTGGTCGTTGTCGTTGATAACTCACCCTGTGTGGTTGTTGTCGTTGATAACTCACCCTGTGTGGCCGTTGTCGTTGATAACTCACCCTGTGTGGTCGTTGTCGTTGATAACTCACCCTGTGTGGTCGTTGTCGTTGATAACTCACCCTGTGTGGTTGTTGTCGTTGATAACTCACCCTGTGTGGTCGTTGTCGTTGATAACTCACCCTGTGTGGTCGTTGTTGTTGATAACTCACCCTGTGTGGTCGTTGTCGTTGATAACTCACCCTGTGTGGTTGTTGTCGTTGATAACTCACCCTGTGTGGTCGTTGTCGTTGATAACTCACCCTGTGTGGTCGTTGTCGTTGATAACTCACCCTGTGTGGTCGTTGTCGTTGATAACTCACCCTGTGTGGTCGTTGTCGTTGATAACTCACCCTGTGTGGTCGTTGTCGTTGATAACTCACCCTGTGTGGTCGTTGTTGTTGATAATGGTGGTATACCACGGACTCCTCGTGTCTCCAGTCATCCTATCGTGGTTGTTACAGGGATCCTCCTCCACACAGTAGACCCCGTTGTAGGACGTCAGAGGTACTACGTTGGGAACGTGGTAGTAAATGTAATCATCGTTCATACAATGACATTCCATAATAGTACCCTGAGATATGGGTGTTTAGTCAGGGAGTTGAGGTACCTGACAACAACCTGAACAATAATTAAGTACAAAATAAATACTTATCACTTTCACTTTCACTTTCACTTTCACTTTCACTTTCACTTTCAATTTCAATTTCAATTTCACTTTCACTTTCACTTTCAATTTCACTTTCATTTTCACTTTCAATTTCAATTTCAATTTCACTTTCACTTACGGATCTCCCATTCCAGCGGTAGGTGATGTCTGAGTGGACTTGTTCAAGCCCTTGTTGCGAACAGGTTCCCTTCTCAACGTGTTCTCCAACCATGTAGATAGGGTAATCAGCACCACACACGTTCTTTTTTACCTGTGTGTTGTTTTATTTGTAAAGATGTGTTACAGAGGAACACAATAATCTTAGTTCACATCTACAAATATTATTATTATTATTAAATCTAAATTTAAATTTTAATTGAGCCAGAAGATATGTTAACAAATATGTTAACAAATATGTTAACAAATATGTTAACAAATATGTTAACAAATATGTTAACAAATATGTTAACAAATATGTTAACAAATATGTTAACAAATATGTTAACAAATATGTTAACAAATATGTTAACAATGTGGCAGTACCGGGTGGTTAGCCATCCTCTTAGCGTGAGCGGTAAACTTGTACCAGCCCTCCGGAAGGTTCCTGTCAGCTTTACCGGTTCCAGCCTGGCGTTCTCCTCTCCATTCATCATCCAGTGGTTTTGCTCTGATACGAGGGAGGGAGTTAAATCTATTTTAAATAAACAAACTATTCTAAATCTTGAAGTATTATTAAATGTATATTTAATTAATCCAAGACTACTCGACCGCATGAGAAGTGTGGAAACACAAATAAAAGTTGCATTGGTTCACGTTGAGGTTCCTTTGTGACTCTGATTTTACTAACGATTTGCAGACGTTGTCCATTGAATCTTCAACACAATATCTAGCGTAAACGTAAGGAGGGGAGGTTGTGAGGTAGTACAACATCTTATTGTTTCCGCAGTTTCTCACATTGATTTCCTGAAGTATATCACCATTTAGAGAAAAGGACTACCAATCATAATAACATTGTTTTACTGATACTGGATACAAATCACACTATAATGTATAATGTATAATGTGTAATGTATAATGTATAATGTATAATGTATAATGTATAATGTATAATGTATAATGTATAATGTATATTGTATAATGTGTAATGTATAATGTATAATGTATAATGTATAATGTATAATGTATAATGTATAATGTATAATGTATAATGTATAATGTATAATGTATAATGTATAATGTATAATGTATAATGTATAATGTATAATGTATAATGTATAATGTATAATGTATAATGTATAATGTATAATGTATAATGTATAATGTATAATGTATAATGTATAATGTATAATGTATAATGTATAATGTATAATGTATAATGTATAATGTATAATGTATAATGTATAATGTATAATGTATAATGTATAATGTATAATGTATAATGTATAATGTATAATGTATAATGTATAATGTATAATGTATAATGTATAATGTATAATGTATAATGTATAATGTATAATGTATAATGTATAATGTATAATGTACATTATACAATGTAAAATGTAAATTAGCAGTCCCACCTTCTGCCACTGACAAGTGTTGACACCGTTAACCACACAAAGTGTTCTCTGTACGACTCCCTCTCCCGGGCTAGGATCAGCCCCGTTTAGCCATGTTGGGTATGTTGTCCTGCAGGACTTGGGCATTGGTGCAGTCTTGGGCATCACCCCGTTACCTACCAGGTTTTATTTATTAGACTCGTTATTTCTAGCTACCAGTATTTGTTACTGAAGGTAACAGAATATTATTGAAACACTTAATGAGAGCTATTTTTCCTTTTTTTTCTTTTTTTTTATAAATTTTTCCTTGATGAAACATCAAAACTCCCATTAAATCTTTGAACCACTTTGTTATTTTACTGGGATGTAACATTACACAAGGCGTATAATGTAATTAATAACTAACTAATGTAACTGATAACTAACTAATAAAACTAACCGACAGTAAACTGGTACCACCCCTCAGTCAGCCCATTATCGTTAATCATAGACACACTACGAGTGTAAACACTCCTGTCGTCCTGGTCAAACTCCCTGGGATCAGAGCCACAAGGGTCACTGGCCACAGTGTATGCCCGGCTTGCTAGTGTTGGAACCAGTTTGTAGATATAGTAGGCTCCACAGTTCTTTACTTTAATAGACTTGGAGGTCTGTTTGCAGTTGGCGCCTGCTCTGAAATATACGTTCCTAGTTGCTGTCTCCCCAACATCAGGATGTCCTCCTTCCATCCAACCAGGATATTCCGTACCTGATAAATAATAAACATCAGCCTTCTTCCATCCAACCAGGATATTCCGTACCTGATAAATAATAAACATCAGCCTTCTTCAGGATTAGTGATTGGGTAGTCGGTATTAGATTTATATAAATGCTCCAGGGACACACGTTATAAACAAAACTATTTAGTTAAATAAAATGTTACCTCCGTATTTCTGGGGAGTGCACTCTTCGTTTATCTTTTTGAGTCCGTTGTTGAACCTGTACCAACCAATCGCGAGGGAGCTGTCGGACTGGCTGTCGGTTGTTGCCTTCCAGGCTAGTCTATTGTCATCCTCAATCACTGCAATAGTTCAACACTATGATGCTTATTATATAACCAGGAAATAGGGGTCATATCTTAACTAGTGGATACGCAAAGTGTCATATCTGAAGGTTTAGTGGATACGCAAAGTATATATAATGTATGATGTATAATGTATAATGTATGTATACGTACCCTCGTATGATGAAGAATCGCACACTTCTGTCTCAACGTTGTAAGTAGTACGGCCGGCACCTTGATACGGCAACCTGAAACAACGAAATGGTCATACCGTACTCACGTTAATCTATTTGATTGTTTACAATCAAGTAAACTTGATGAAGGAATGCTGAGTAACTAAATCACATGTGCTGCAAGTTTGTGAGTAGTTGGATGAGTAATGCTCACCAGTACACAAGGTAATCTCCACAGTTCTTCACTTGACCCTTTTGATTTATCCATGCGCAGTTATTACCAGTGTATCTCCACATTATCGTGAACTCTTTCGGTCCTGTAAACATTACATAAATCAACCGTTTCATTAGTCACACATTGAATATTGGAGTTGCAAATGTTGAAAGTGTTGTAGTACCACTTGTAAACACTGAACAAGATCACGTGATAGTACCACTTGTAAACACTGAACAAGATCACGTGATAGTACCACTTGTAAACACTGAACAAGATCACGTGATAGTACCACTTGTAAACACTGAACAAGATCACGTGATAGTACCACTTGTAAACACTGAACAAGATCACGTGATAGTACCACTTGTAAACACTGAACAAGATCACGTGATAGTACCACTTGTAAACACTGAACAAGATCACGTGATAGTACCACTTGTAAACACTGAACAAGATCACGTGATAGTACCACTTGTAAACACTGAACAAGATCACGTGATAGTACCACTTGTAAACACTGAACAAGATCACGTGATATTACCACTTGTAAACACTGAACAAGATCACGTGATAGTACCACTTGTAAACACTGAACAAGATCACGTGATAGTACCACTTGTAAACACTGAACAAGATCACGTGATAGTACCACTTGTAAACACTGAACAAGATCACGTGATAGTACCACTTGTAAACACTGAACAAGATCACGTGATAGTACCACTTGTAAACACTGAACAAGATCACGTGATAGTACCACTTGTAAACACTGAACAAGATCACGTGATAGTACCACTTGTAAACACTGAACAAGATCACGTGATATTACCACTTGTAAACACTGAATAACCAGTATTGGTTGCTAGGTAACAGAATTGGTTGCTAGGTAACAGTATTGGTTACTAGGTAACAGTATTGGTTACTAGGTAACAGTATTAGTTGCTAGGTAACAGATCACGTGATAGTTTAAATAACGCACCTTCATCAGGAGTGGGCTCCACCAGATCCAGAGCGTATGAAGGATAGTAACCACCTCCGTGCAGGTAGTCAGGACAGTGAGAAGCCATCCTGCCCCGACCTGTCGTGAATCTGTACCTGTAGGTTAAATAACGGTTAGTTACTGGTAATGGGAGGGGGCTTAGAGTAATCAAGAGCAAGATGTTTTAAAGTGTTAATATTTGTCCTGCGCTTGTTACTTTGTGATGTGCTGGTGATATTCCTTATCTGGAGGCCCTAGCGTTCATTTTAATGTCCGTCCAAATAAATTCCGACAAGGTAGTTAAATCAAAGTATATTAAATGAATGCCTTTGAGCGTTCATTTTAATGTCCGTTCAAAATTATGTCCGTTCAAATAACGTCCAATGAGCTAGTTAATTGCTGAAAGGTTGAACTTACCAGCCAGGAAGGATATGCGTGTCTGTATTAGTATGAGTAAAGGTTGAACTTACCAGCCAGGAAGGATACTCGTGTCTGTATTAGTATGAGTAAAGGTTGAACTTACCAGCCAGGAAGGATATGCGTGTCTGCATTAGTATGAGTAAAGGTTGAACTTACCAGCCAGGAAGGATATGCGTGTCTGTATTAGTATGAGTAAAGGTTGAACTTACCAGCCAGGAAGGATACTCGTGTCTGTATTAGTATGAGTAAAGGTTGAACTTACCAGCCAGGAAGGATATGCGTGTCTGTATTAGTATGAGTAAAGGTTCAACTTACCAGCCAGGAAGGATATGCGTGTCTGTATTAGTATGAGTAAAGGTTGAACTTACCAGCCAGGAAGGATATGCGTGTCTGTATTAGTATGAGTAAAGGTTGAACTTACCAGCCAGGAAGGATATGCGTGTCTGTATTAGTATGAGTAAAGGTTGAACTTACCAGCCAGGAAGGATACTCGTGTCTGTATTAGTATGAGTAAAGGTTGAACTTACCAGCCAGGAAGGATATGCGTGTCTGTATTAGTATGAGTAAAGGTTGAACTTACCAGCCAGGAAGGATATGCGTGTCTGTATTAGTATGAGTAAAGGTTGAACTTACCAGCCAGGAAGGATATGCGTGTCTGTATTAGTATGAGTAAAGGTTGAACTTACCAGCCAGGAAGGATATGCGTGTCTGTATTAGTATGAGTAAAGGTTGAACTTACCAGCCAGGAAGGATATGCGTGTCTGTATTAGTATGAGTAAAGGTTGAACTTACCAGCCAGGAAGGATATGCGTGTCTGTATTAGTATGAGTAAAGGTTGAACTTACCAGCCAGGAAGGATATGCGTGTCTGTATTAGTATGAGTAAAGGTTGAACTTACCAGCCAGGAAGGATATGCGTGTCTGTATTAGTATGAGTAAAGGTTGAACTTACCAGCCAGGAAGGATATGCGTGTCTGTATTAGTATGAGTAAAGGTTGAACTTACCAGCCAGGAAGGATATGCGTGTCTGTATTAGTATGAGTAAAGGTTGAACTTACCAGCCAGGAAGGATACTCGTGTCTGTATTAGTATGAGTAAAGGTTGAACTTACCAGCCAGGAAGGATATGCGTGTCTGTATTAGTATGAGTAAAGGTTGAACTTACCAGCCAGGAAGGATATGCGTGTCTGTATTAGTATGAGTAAAGGTTGAACTTACCAGCCAGGAAGGATATGCGTGTCTGTATTAGTATGAGTAAAGGTTGAACTTACCAGCCAGGAAGGATACTGCGTGTCTGTATTAGTATGAGTAAAGGTTGAACTTACCAGCCAGGAAGGATATGCGTGTCTGTATTAGTATGAGTAAAGGTTGAACTTACCAGCCAGGAAGGATATGCGTGTCTGTATTAGTATGAGTAAAGGTTGAACTTACCAGCCAGGAAGGATATGCGTGTCTGTATTAGTATGAGTAAAGGTTGAACTTACCAGCCAGGAAGGATATGCGTGTCTGTATTAGTATGAGTAAAGGTTGAACTTACCAGCCAGGAAGGATATGCGTGTCTGTATTAGTATGAGTAAAGGTTGAACTTACCAGCCAGGAAGGATATGCGTGTCTGTATTAGTATGAGTAAAGGTTGAACTTACCAGCCAGGAAGGATATGCGTGTCTGTATTAGTATGAGTAAAGGTTGAACTTACCAGCCAGGAAGGATATGCGTGTCTGTATTAGTATGAGTAAAGGTTGAACTTACCAGCCAGGAAGGATATGCGTGTCTGTATTAGTATGAGTAAAGGTTGAACTTACCAGCCAGGAAGGATATGCGTGTCTGTATTAGTATGAGTAAAGGTTGAACTTACCAGCCAGGAAGGATATGCGTGTCTGTATTAGTATGAGTAAAGGTTGAACTTACCAGCCAGGAAGGATATGCGTGTCTGTATTAGTATGAGTAAAGGTTGAACTTACCAGCCAGGAAGGATACTCGTGTCTGTATTAGTATGAGTAAAGGTTGAACTTACCAGCCAGGAAGGATATGCGTGTCTGTATTAGTATGAGTAAAGGTTGAACTTACCAGCCAGGAAGGATACTCGTGTCTGTATTAGTATGAGTAAAGGTTGAACTTACCAGCCAGGAAGGATACTCGTGTCTGTATTAGTATGAGTAAAGGTTGAACTTACCAGCCAGGAAGGATACTGCGTGTCTGTATTAGTATGAGTAAAGGTTGAACTTACCAGCCAGGAAGGATATGCGTGTCTGTATTAGTATGAGTAAAGGTTGAACTTACCAGCCAGGAAGGATACTCGTGTCTGTATTAGTATGAGTAAAGGTTGAACTTACCAGCCAGGAAGGATATGCGTGTCTGTATTAGTATGAGTAAAGGTTGAACTTACCAGCCAGGAAGGATATGCGTGTCTGTATTAGTATGAGTAAAGGTTGAACTTACCAGCCAGGAAGGATATGCGTGTCTGTATTAGTATGAGTAAAGGTTGAACTTACCAGCCAGGAAGGATATGCGTGTCTGTATTAGTATGAGTAAAGGTTGAACTTACCAGCCAGGAAGGATACTCGTGTCTGTATTAGTATGAGTAAAGGTTGAACTTATCAGCCAGGAAGGATATGCGTGTCTGTATTAGTATGAGTAAAGGTTGAACTTACCAGCCAGGAAGGATATGCGTGTCTGTATTAGTATGAGTAAAGGTTGAACTTACCAGCCAGGAAGGATATGCGTGTCTGTATTAGTATGAGTAAAGGTTGAACTTACCAGCCAGGAAGGATACTCGTGTCTGTATTAGTATGAGTAAAGGTTGAACTTATCAGCCAGGAAGGATATGCGTGTCTGTATTAGTATGAGTAAAGGTTGAACTTACCAGCCAGGAAGGATATGCGTGTCTGTATTAGTATGAGTAAAGGTTGAACTTACCAGCCAGGAAGGATATGCGTGTCTGTATTAGTATGAGTAAAGGTTGAACTTACCAGCCAGGAAGGATACTCGTGTCTGTATTAGTATGAGTAAAGGTTGAACTTATCAGCCAGGAAGGATACTCGTGTCTGTATTAGTATGAGTAAAGGTTCAACTTATCAGCCAGGAAGGATATGCGTGTCTGTATTAGTATGAGTAAAGGTTGAACTTACCAGCCAGGAAGGATATGCGTGTCTGTATTAGTATGAGTAAAGGTTGAACTTACCAGCCAGGAAGGATATGCGTGTCTGCATTAGTATGAGTAAAGGTTGAACTTACCAGCCAGGAAGGATATGCGTGTCTGTATTAGTATGAGTAAAGGTTGAACTTATCAGCCAGGAAGGATATGCGTGTCTGTATTAGTATGAGTAAAGGTTGAACTTATCAGCCAGGAAGGATATGCGTGTCTGTATTAGTATGAGTAAAGGTTGAACTTACCAGCCAGGAAGGATACTCGTGTCTGTATTAGTATGAGTGGCACTGTAGTCTGTACTCCTCCATTCCTCCCCTAGTTCTTCATAGTCCTCACACATTGCGTTAGCACCGCTTACTGTCAAGATATTAGTGTAAGATCACGTGACTGTTCACTTGCTCAGTTAGGTCCACGTGAGAGCAGCAACTTATTTGTTAAGCAATATTACAAGTAACTGAGTGATGAACTAACCCACACAGGCTCCGTAGTAAGTAGTTGCTGGTTCCAGATGGTACAAGTAGTGACCACCGCAGTTCACCACCTGAGCCTTCTTGCAGTTGCTCTCAGCGCCGTTGCCGGTGTCGTAGCATATTTTAGTGTTTACTGTGCCCTCTGAGGCGGCAGGGTGTCGACCAAGTGTCATCCAGCCTGGGATGGTATTATGTTAGTACTACTAGCATCACTGTGCTTAATTGTTGGGGAGAGCGGTAATATGACATGTAAAATACTGCGTTTTTTTAGGCCCCTTATTGTAATCTTTAGTTGGTAACTTTTGTAAAAAACCTTCCTGATTTTGTCAAAAGTTGGAAAGTGTTACTGAAGGTGTTACTGGAGGTGTTACTGAAGGTGTTACTGGAAGGTGTTACTGTGCAGTAGGGTGTCCACTAGGTAGGTTCACGAAACCACTTTTCGTTCAAATAATTAGAGATCACCTTTAATTAGCAGCTAATTAGCAGCTAATTAGCAGCTAATTAGCAGCTAATTAGCTGTACCACTTACCTTGATATTTAGCTCCACATGTAGCCTCCTCTCTGGTGTGGGCCAGCCTCTCGTTGCCAATGGTTACCTTGTACCAACCAATAGCCTGGTTGTCTGTTCCGCCCGATGTCACTGGTGCACCTGATCAGCATCGCTATTAATAATCTACCAGAAATAAGTTATCATTAGAAGCTACCAACTTTTCTTTGGCATGTCTTTACTGTATATTTATAAGTTTTACACGATTGATATCAACGTGCAACTATGATGAACCTCGCTGCAAACAGATTTTAAACTTTACTTAGTTACGACGTTCATAAAACACGCAGGCTGTAGCTTCTAACAATTATGTAGCTTCTAACAATTATGGACACACTCACATAATACAATAAAACCCACATTTACCGCGAAATTTGGGGAAAGGAAATAGTCGCGGTAAATCGGGATTTTACTGCACATATATTGCCTCAGAGTAGGAGCAGTGGCATACGGTGGCTGGATTCTAAAGATTTTATACTTTTGCTGTAAGATACTGAGTTTTAAAATTAATGTGATCTAGAGTTGGTCGGAGCGGGCTAAGTTTCACGGTCTTTAAATTTTAACCAAAAGTAAAGAAATAAGAACAAATTATATTTTACATCTAACTGATAACGATCATGCTACTCATATAATATGATTCGGCGGTTCCCCATGCGTCTTAAAATAGATCCTGATATCCTCCAGATTTGTTGCTAGCCATAATTCCTTGTGACCAGAAATATAATACCAGGTTGTAACACATTACAACACATTACAACACATTACAATACATAACAACACATTACAACACATTACAACACATTACAACACATTACAACACATTACAACACATTACAACACATAACAACACATTACAGCACATTAAAACACCTTACAATACATAACAACACATTACAACACATTACAACACATTACAACACATTGCACATGATGGAGGAGATCAGGCAGCTTACCACAAATAAAACAAGTCCTTTATAAAAGGACTCTTAAAATATGTTGCCCACGTGAATTGGTATGTAACTGTAAGTATGTAGATTATAAAGTTTTTCAAACTGTCGCCAGTTAATATTCTAGCCATTGTACATGTGACTTGCATTAAAATTTGCAGCTATCCGCAACTGTAACGCAACCGATTTAAAATAAGTGCAGTCATGTCCAACTAGTGAGCGTGCATGTTAGATCTTCTGTTACAAGCATTGCTTTGAAAACTGGTTGGAGATGTTTCGCTGAGCAAGAATACTCCAATAGCTGTTATTCATACACTTGATTATTTGTTAGCTTTACTCTGTTGGGTGTTGTATTTGTTAATTCATGTTATGTTAGTACTGGTGCTTATATTGCTGACCGGGCTCCGAGTCGAAGCTGAAGATGGAGGTAAGTTGGTAATATCATGAAGTAGCTTTATCAAAATAACTTCGCAACAAATGACGTCACCGCGGTCGCACCTTACTTAAATTCACAAAACAACCTCTAAAAGTCTAAACACCCTCTAAATACCCTCTAAATACCCTCTAAATACCTCTAAATACCCTCTACACACCCTCTACACACCCTCTAAACACCCTCTACACACACTCTACACACCCTCTACACACCCTCTAAACACCCTCTACACACCCTCTATACACCCTCTAAACACCCTCTAAACACCCTCTAAATACCCTCTATACACCCTCTAAACACCCTCTAAATACCCTTTCTCTGCAGGTAGCGTGGCGTTTTACTTTAAATCAGAGCCGGCTGACTCGTGGGTTGCTCTAGGAGGTGCCCTGACCCTCTCCTGTGGTACCAGTACCACGGTAGAGAAGACTTGGACCTGGACCCTCTACTCGTCCACCTCACACGATACCGGGACAGTACTGGAAGGAAGTGGGGACACTCTGGAATACGGACCCGCTGATATGGAGCTAGATAACACCTTCGTTACTTGTTCAGCTGATGTGTTCGGAACACAGCTTATCAGCAGATACGCGCTCATTAGAGTTTCCTTTCTTGAGACAGAGTTTCAGGAGGAGCCGTCTGACCTGACAGCACAGGCCAGTAGCGACCATATTAGGTTGGATTGTAGTCCTCCTAAAGGGAGCCCCTCTCCTTATATCACCTGGCAGAAGGATGGAGAAGATATGGATCTAGGGAACACTTACGTGGACCCTCTTGGAGGTCTCAACATTCTGAATGTGGATGAGAGCTTTGGTGGAAGTTACACTTGTGTAGCTAACTCCCATCAGGGCCACGAACCAGTTACAAGCAGAGCTGGGGTCCTCACCATAGAAGGAACAGCTACTACCAGCCTCCTCCCCGTTACTTACGATCTTTCCTTTGCTAAGTCTCGATATAGAATATCTGCTAGGAAGGGCGACACTGTGAGAGTTCTCTGTGGGTTTATTGGTAACCCGACACCCTCTTTTGCTATCATGGTAGGTTCTGAGGAGCTGAGTGGAGCGGGAGTAGGTGCTCACGGCACGTGGGGTACCCTGCAAAGTTTAGGTGAAATATCAGCCGTAAAGTGTGAAGGGTCCTCTCAGGGGATTAGCCAGACGATGAATATACCTATTGACGTAACTGGAACCCTTCAAGTAGCAGGTGGAATAGCGGTCAACAACTTGGAAGGAGAAGAGACTACGATGGTGTGCTCAGAGTCAGGAGCTAACGGAGATCCTACCTTTTCCTGGTACAAGAACGGAGCCAAATTAGTAGGGGAAACAGCTCGCTATCTGGAAATACTAAACCCCTCCAGAGCTGATAGCGGCATGTATCAGTGCTTTGCTGCAACTGTCTATTCCAAGGAACAGTCGACCTTCGCTGTAACCATCAGTGCTCTGGACCCTGTTCCAGTTAAAGTGACAGTCACATCTGATGAATACGGACTACTAGGAGAGAACGCACAGCTAAGTTGTGTGGGACAAGGAAACCCAGTTCCCTCCGTCACGTGGCATAGAAAAGAAGCTAACAGTGTTAACGCTATTGCTATAGACAATGTCGTCTACAAGGAAACCTTTACTGAGGTCTTGGCTCTACTCAATATTGGTTTGTACTAAACATCAAGATCATTTTTCTGACTTGCACTTTTGACTGTCTTGAAACAATTTTGATTATTTTAGCTGATCTTCAAATTTTTCAATGACTGGAAATATTACTACTCAGTATCAGCTATAAATACTTATAAAACTTACGTAACATCATTTCAGAGAACCTGAGCATGGCAGAGGATGGGATAGAGTACATCTGCAAAGGAGGGAACACTGATCTGTACGACTCGAGTATAATCTACAAAGCTGACTCTAGTATTACCCTACAAGTGGTACAAGCAGTAGAGCCCAGTATTAGTCTGCCCAGCACTAGTGTCATTAAAGGCGGCACCCCTCTAACTCTGATTTGCAGTGTAGAGGGTTCCCCTCCTCCCACTATTGAGTGGTTCATGAACGGGGACAAGATTGAGGAAGCGGTGGAGGAAACCTATGTGACAGATGGACTCGGTGGAGTGTACGTGTGTAAAGCAACAAACATGCTGGGTACTGTGGAGCAGGAGGTGATAGTGGAGTCTAAACCAGAGTTTAGTGGAGGAGAAATATTCCTCATCTTGCTTATCGTGGCGTTCCTGTTGTTGGTCCTGATTGTTTTACTCCTCATCTTGGTCAGGAGAAACGAGCTGGAACGTAGAATGAAGGAGGCTCGCGCCAGAGACGAGCTGCTAATTGAGAACGAGAAGAGGGCAGGATTGACTCCTTCACTCCCTCCAACTCCTAGATCTGAGATACACCCCTCAGCTGCCGTAGCAGAGGTTCCACCCTTCACATTCCCTGCTGAGGGGCTAGATGGGCCGGCAATGAGTGAGGTGGAGTGCCAGACTCCTCGCAGTATCCTCTCACCTCGTCCTGCCACACCACAATCTCAATTACCTCCAGTCTGATAACCTCTCTTCTTAATTGACTCAATCATATACGCTTAATGAGTTATTGTCCTACCGGACTTATTGACTCTTGAAAATGGACTTTTAAATATTGAAGAAGAAGCTTTATATTGGGAAAGTATTCAAGCTTAATCATAATAGTTTGATTATATGAAGCCATATTTAGTACGCTTACTCTTGCTGCCATATAGTCAGTTAATTTAGATTTAGTGTTAAAAATAAAACCTGTTTAGCATAACAGGTCAAGGTTTGTTATTGAAGGGAACATATTTTCCTATTAAGATTCCAATGATTATTTGATATAATAATAATAGAAGATGAAGTTGCAACTTCTTGCGAGGAGTTGCACTCCACCTCACTCTTAGTTACCGAGCGCAGATTTAATTCGTCTTTTCAAGTACGATTTCATTTGAAGTATTCTTTAGGTTAAGTTGTTCAATTGCTGTAATTTTTCAATTTATTAATAAACTGTTATCAAAGTGGTTTCTTTAGTTAAAATAGAGAGCCACTACTTGCTGCCCACGACAAACTGTAAAGTGTAAACTTATAAACTACTATCACGTTCTTAAGATGTAACAAGATGTGTGAAACATCTTTCCAAAAGCCGCTATTTATAGCCGTACTAAGATGCATGTACAGTGTGCATTGTGCAAGAACAGCACAATTCAGATAAGTAGATTAAAGTTGCTTGTTGAATGGGCAGGATAAACTACAGATGGTGTTATTAACTAATATGGTAACACAACTAAACACCTGTAATCTATTAATAACCAGTACCTGCTAGTCTCCAGGTATCATCTAGAGGAGTGCCCTCTACACTACCGCACAACTAAACACCTGTAATCTATTAATAACCAGTACCTGCTAGTCTCCAGGTATCATCTAGAGGAGTGCCCTCTACACTACCGCACAACTAAACACCTGTAATCTATTAATAACCAGTACCTGCTAGTCTCCAGGTATCATCTAGAGGAGTGCCCTCTACACTACCGCACAACTAAACACCTGTAATCTATTAATAACCAGTACCTGCTAGTCTCCAGGTATCATCTAGAGGAGTGCCCTCTACACTACCGCACAACTAAACACCTGTAATCTATTAATAACCAGTACCTGCTAGTCTCCAGGTATCATCTAGAGGAGTGCCCTCTACACTACCGCACAACTAAACACCTGTAATCTATTAATAACCAGTACCTGCTAGTCTCCAGGTATCATCTAGAGGAGTGCCCTCTACACTAGCGCACAACTAAACACCTGTAATCTATTAATAACCAGTACCTGCTAGTCTCCAGGTATCATCTAGAGGAGTGCCCTCTACACTAGCGCACACGTCAGTCTCCACACACATAGCGTAGTGAAGATTTGGTGATCTGTTCAGATAGTAGATTTCCTTGTTAGCGCACTTCTTCATTGAGATTACTTGACAAGAACCTGAGGGAAGAGTGGTCAGGAGATCAGGGCCAGGTTTGCGCGCCGAGTTGGACTTGTCGGCGTCTTATATCTTTAAGTTGTATGTGTTATTATATACACGGTCTTACAATATTTGACACAAATATCACCCGTTAATACTCATTGTTCACCCGTTAATACTCATTGTTCGTTAAATTTCCGGGCTTAGTTAGTTAGCTGGACAGTACGTGGCGTATACCTTACCAAGAGGGTCAACAGTTTATTTATTAAGGAACAAATAGTCTAACTACAAGTTAAGACAATAGTTTGTAGCAGCTATAAGTTACAAAGGAACGGGCTGTTGTTCTATGTGGATGTTTGACTGTAACTAATGTAAGGAGGTGAAGGTATGTAAGGAGATGAAGGAATGTAAGGAGGTGAAGGAATGTAAGGAGGTGAAGGAATGTAAGGAGGTGATGTGAACACCAAGTTAACGTACTCTGGTCAGCTGTAGCGCTGGTCCTGTAGCAAACTTTACCAGGTACAATACCATCCTCTTCCTTGGGCTCGACAGAGTTTATGTAACCTGAGGGGGAGTTATCAGTAAAGTTAAAAGTTGTAGTCAACACAAGTTTGAAGTCGTTATCCACCGGTTTGGGCCAACATTTCACGTGCATAAATGAATACTGTAAATCATCGCATGTATTAATAAAAGCGCTGTAGCTTAAAATTTGTAGTTATAAAGAGTAAATAAGCTAAATATTGTAACCTGGGTAAGTAGCTCCACAATCGTACAGATCTGAGGGAGAGTAAGCAAGACGCTTGTTACCGACCTTCACCTCGTACCATCCGGAGGTCAGAGATTGCCATTCGTTCCCTGCAGTACAGATATACGTTTAATTTAATTGTAATTAATATTATTCGTTCCCTGCAGTGCAGATACGTTTAATTTAATTGTAATTAATTATTCGTTCCCTGCAGTGCAGATATACGTTTAATCTAATTGTAATTAATTATTTGTTTCTTAGAAAAACATCTTAGAAACACTCGTAATGTGTAGATAAGAGTGCTCTACTGACCAGTCCTTTCTCCAGCCCACTGCAGAGCGTTGGTGGAGTAGATATTCTTTATTTCACTAGACGTGCACACATCCTCCTCTACGCAGTAAGCTAGTTGGTTATAGTTTATTTTGAACAGTCTGTATACCCAGTATCCCTGAGAAAGTGGTATTGTTAGCGCCCTGTCCGCTTTCACGGCAACTTCTCACATACCAGTAAAATGGAAATATCATAGTTAAAGGAAATGCTTTGGCTCCAGTTTACTCACGTCACATTTAAGTGCTAAGTTCCTGTAGGTAGTGCCAGTAAATCCTGTTGTATGCATTCTCAGAGCGAACAGAGCGTCACCACTCTCCTCATCTTTCTCCAGAACCTGCATACCAGTCAGTGGTTACTAGTGGTTACCAGTCAGTGGTTACTAGTGGTTACCAATCAGTGGTTACTAGTGGTTACCAGTCAGTGGTTACTAGTGATTACCAGTCAGTGGTTACTAGTGGTTACCAGTCAGTGGCTACTATAAGTGGTTACCAGTCAGGGGTTACTAGTGGTTACCAGTCAGTGGTTACTAGTGGTTACCGGTCAGTGGTTACTAGTGGTTACCAGTCAGTGGTTACTAGTTTGTTAAGAACATATTAGATTATTAACAATCCATCCAAATATTTAATACAGATCTTCAACCTAGTTGGTAATTACAATTTATATTTCCGCTACATAGATGAGCTGAAATTACTTACTACTACTACTACACGCTACTACTTACGTCACTGATAAGAACTTTGTATGTTCCACCACAATTGTTATCCTTGACTTGGAACGCAGTGAGACGACCCAATCCACTCATGAATCTGTAGTAACCATCTTCCACCACCTAGGGTAAATCAGTGTTAATTTTTTTAATCAACACTTTCTGGATTACATAATTTTCCATTTTCTACATTGGTGAATTGGTGATAGACCTTCTATCAAGTACACAGTTGGTTTGTATTATTTTATATTTCAGAAGAGCTTAGTATATACTATATATATATATAGTAGTATATGTAGTATATATAGTATAGCGTAGTAACTATGGTAACTAGTAGTGTAACTATGGTAACTAGTATAGCGTACCGTGAGCTGCTTAGTATATACTATATATATATAGTAGTATATGTAGTATATATAGTATAGCGTAGTAACTATGGTAACTAGTAGTGTAACTATGGTAACTAGTATAGCGTACCGTGAGCTGATCGTTAACGTATGAAGTGGTAGGAGTTAGCATTCCTCTCTTGGGGTTGTTTAATTTGGTGGCTGCCTCGCATACCTCGGTCTTGTCTTGTTCTGTTCAAGTAGTTGTACATTAGATAACAAGATTTAATTTAGAAGCTAGAATAAGTAGCCTGGCCTGAAATCTGAATGAAATTCCTCTTCCAATAGTTGAGATATAAACATTTGTCCTTGTCTCTTTCAACCGGATATTATCCAACTATCAGTATTTCATCGTGAGACTAATAAACAGCGAACTACTCCAACATTTGATATTCCTAAATCCCGACCAGGAGATATAAACGACTGACTATTTGAAAGATAAGACCATTTGAAAGACTATTTGAAAGACTATTTGACTGACTATTTGAAAGACTGCACTTACCGACACAATGACCGTACTAAAGACTGCACTTACCGACACAATGACCGTACTAAAGACTGCACTTACCGACACAATGACCGTACTAAAGACTGCACTTACCGACACAATGACCGTACTAAAGACTGCACTTACCGACACAATGACCGTACTAAAAACTGCACTTACCGACACAATGACCGTACTAAAGACTGCACTTACCGACACAATGACCGTACTAAAGACTGCACTTACCGACACAATGACCGTACTAAAGACTGCACTTACCGACACAATGACCGTACTAAAGACTGCACTTACCGACACAATGACCGTACTAAAAACTGCACTTACCGACACAATGACCGTACTAAAGACTGCACTTACCGACACAATGACCGTACTAAAGACTGCACTTACCGACACAATGACCGTACTAAAGACTGCACTTACCGACACAATGACCGTACTAAAGACTGCACTTACCGACACAATGACCGTACTAAAGACTGCACTTACCGACACAATGACCGTACTAAAGACTGCACTTACCGACACAATGACCGTACTAAAGACTGCACTTACCGACACAATGACCGTACTAAAGACTGCACTTACCGACACAATGACCGTACTAAAGACTGCACTTACCGACACAATGACCGTACTAAAGACTGCACTTACCGACACAATGACCGTACTAAAGACTGCACTTACCGACACAATGACCGTACTAAAGACTGCACTTACCGACACAATGACTGTACTAAAGACTGCACTTACAGACACAATGACCGTACTAAAGACTGCACTTACCGACACAATGACCGTACTAAAGACTGCACTTACCGACACAATGACCGTACTAAAGACTGCACTTACCGACACAATGACCGTACTAAAGACTGCACTTACCGACACAATGACCGTACTAAAGACTGCACTTACCGACACAATGACCGTACTAAAGACTGCACTTACCGACACAATGACCGTACTAAAGACTGCACTTACCGACACAATGACCGTACTAAAGACTGCACTTACCGACACAATGACCGTACTAAAGACTGCACTTACCGACACAATGACCGTACTAAAGACTGCACTTACCGACACAATGACCGTACTAAAGACTGCACTTACCGACACAATGACCGTACTAAAGACTGCACTTATCGACACAATGACCGTACTAAAGACTGCACTTACCGACACAATGACCGTACTAAAGACTGCACTTACAGACACAATGACCGTACTAAAGACTGCACTTACCGACACAATGACCGTACTAAAGACTGCACTTACCGACACAATGACCGTACTAAAGACTGCACTTACCGACACAATGACCGTACTAAAGACTGCACTTACCGACACAATGACCGTACTAAAGACTGCACTTACCGACACAATGACCGTACTAAAGACTGCACTTACCGACACAATGACCGTACTAAAGACTGCACTTACCGACACAATGACCGTACTAAAGACTGCACTTACCGACACAATGACCGTACTAAAGACTGCACTTACCGACACAATGACCGTACTAAAGACTGCACTTACCGACACAATGACCGTACTAAAGCTTGCACTTACCGACACAATGACCGTACTAAAGACTGCACTTACCGACACAATGACCGTACTAAAGACTGCACTTACCGACACAATGACCGTACTAAAGACTGCACTTACCGACACAATGACCGTACTGGTTGTTGGGAGGCGGTTTAACAATACCGTACACGTAGTACTTCCCACAGTTCTTCACAGAGATCTCGTTACTAGAGTGACAGTCGTTACCGTTATACTTCCAGCACACCTGCCACCAAGACACATGTTAGTTTAATCACATATCATTACTTTTACTTCAGTTATATAATTAATTAATTAATAATTAATTAATAAAATTACAAGGTTTATCAATTAATATTTGAGCACATTAAAGTGGGTAGATAACAAATTCTCCTACCTTCCTCTGTACAACCCCCTCGTTATCCCGGGGATGTTCCCCATCTATCCAACCCTGGTACTCAGTGGTACACATGTTAGTCACTGCTGGAGGTTCCTCCATCATCCTTCCTGTTCCTATTGTGTATCTTATCCAGCCGTTGAACAGATTGTCAAGGTTAACTGAGGAAGTATTCTGTTGTTACTTATCAGGTTACGTGTGGGTTATTAAACATTTGTTAAACAAGTGCATCGGAAGAAATTGTCAGCATTTAAATGATAAAGTGGTTTTTCCCTTGAATTTGGTTCGAGGAGACCCTTAAAACCCTCACTCCAATATCCAAAACAATAAACTAAGCTGGCAACTCTGTGGCCTAACCCTAAGTGTCAAACTCACATCTAGTGAAGCCAGTTCCGTATTTGTGGGAGTATTTTAGTCTCCGCACATCGTCCACCTCCTTGTACACGTTATCAGAGCATACGTCCGTATCCGCTACGTAACAGTAGTCGTTTTGAATGGTCCTTGTTAGGAAGTACACGTATTTATCTCCACAGTTCTCTACCTCGATATTTTGCGTTTTATCAACACCAGGGAATCTCATAACCCTTGTTACGGCTCCCTCACCCTCATTAGGATGAGAGTCTATGTAACCGTTATAATTACAACCTCCTACTGCTTTGGGAGGGGGTGACTCTGGGATCCTCTTCAGACCTTGGGTGAAGTAGACCCAGCCGTCGTTACCGAAATATCTACTCTCGTATCTTCCTGTCAGCATTTTCCTGGTGGAGTGGTACATCTTTCAAAATATAATGCGGGCTTTAATGATATCAAACCGTGAGTCAGCATGCTGGATCTAGTTATTAATATTAGAGTCATAGAGTGTTATATTAACATGTAATCCCTACCTGCTGTTGACTCTCCAATCATCATTAATTTCTCTGGCGTTCTTACATCCAGGTGTCGCCTCGCAATACCTAACAAAGCAACAAGCAGGTTAAACAAGCGTTATCTAATTTATAACTACTTAATTTATTGTTATTTAATGTATAACTAGCAACTACTTGATTAACTATTATCTAGTTTATAACTACTTTATTTATTGTTATCTAATTTATAACTACTTTATTTATTGTTATTTAATTTATAACTACTTGATTTACTGTTATCTATTAAGTGATATGAACCTGGTTGCAGCAGTAGGGGTATTCTTGAGACGGTACAGATAGAAGCCGTCACAGGCCTTTACCCAGTTCTTCACGTTGTAAGTTACCCCAGCATGGGTACTCATAAATTTCACATTGTTCTGTACAATCCCTTCTTCCCTGTAGATGATGTGGTTTAGTTGGGGAGCTAATAATTAATAGGCATCAGTAATCAGTTATAGGCATCAGTAATCAGTCACTCCTCATTAGAGGTAGGGAGGTAGGCATCAGTAATCAGTCACTCCTCATTAGAGGTAGGGAGGTAGGCATCAGTAATCAGTCACTCCTCATTAGAGGTAGGGAGGTAGGCATCAGTAATCAGTCACTCCTCATTAGAGGTAGGGAGGTAGGCATCAGTAATCAGTCACTCCTCATTAGAGGTAGGGAGGTAGGCATCAGTAATCAGTCACTCCTCATTAGAGGTAGGGAGGTAGGCATCAGTAATCAGTCACTCCTCATTAGAGGTAGGGAGGTAGGCATCAGTAATCAGTCACTCCTCATTAGAGGTAGGGAGGTAGGCATCAGTAATCAGTCACTCCTCATTAGAGGTAGGCAATTAGTTCCCGATTACTTTTTTGATGTGATAGAGAATAAAGCAGCCTGACCAACTGTTTGACAATGATTAAGCTGTAAATAAACTTTAATTCTTCTTACTTTGTTGGATGAGGAAACTGTAGGTGGCCGTGGTAAGTGGTGGAACACTGTGTACCCACGAATGTAGAGGTTGGCATGTAGCCAAGGCCAGCTGTTAAACGGTACCATCCTTCAGCCAGAGTGTAGTCAGAGGTCCCTGTCGTGAAATGTGAGAATTTTAACATTGTTATTGTAACGTTATTGTACCGTTATTGTAACGTTATTGTAACGTCAGCTGTCTATGACAAAGGCGTGTTGCCGAAACGTCGACAACTAATTGTTTTGAATCACTGAGTGGAGACTCTCACTTCGTCACCAACTATCAAACTTTATCACAAGCCTATAGAATAGTAAAACATTATAGCCGTGCAGTGTAACAGCAGACTTGTTAAAATAAGGTTCTTAGTAACGCACCCGTTGTGGTATCGGTAGATGAGACAAGTCGCTTTTCGTCGTCACTTTCTGTGTATCTGCCGGCTTCACATACGCTCTCTTCATTGTCATCAACTACGAGACCAGTTCTACTATAACCAGTCGGCGGGATCCTGCAAGCATAAATTAGCATAAATTAGCATAAATTAGCATAAATTACTTTTTTGTTTTACAAATTGCAAATAATTTGTAAAATTTGTCTGACGGTGTTACTCATTGTTTGTATGAGGAATTATGTAACAATATATTCTCATACTTGTAAATATAGTAACCACCGCAGTTCTTGATGGTAAGCTTCCATGTCCAGGCGATATACCGGTCAACGCCTCCTCTTATTCCGGTACCAGGACTTCTGTAGTGCTCCATAATCAGCTCCTCGCTTATATCCTGGTAGGAGTTACTGTTGGGACTGGTTTACTTTTTATTGGCTATTTTAGTTGTGTCCTGAGATTTCATAAAGAAAGTAGCAACGAGGTGAATGTACATCGAATGTATTAACACTACTAAACTGATCATACTTAGTACTTATAAACATGCGATAAGTTAGAGTTATATTTTTAACATTTATTTATCTATGAGCTCACCCCAGGATTGGGAACTGAAGCATGAGAGCCCTCCTCGAACTGATAAGGATACTGGAATCCTCCCCACCAATTTCCTTTTATCTTGGGGTACTCTGCGAGTCTACCATTACCGTTCATGAATCTGTACCTGTTAGTTACCATGGTTACCATTAGTTACTTAATCTGTACCTGGTTAGTAGATGCGTTACTTAATCTACCTGGTTAGTAGATGCGTTACTTAATCTACCTGGTTAGTAGATGCGTTACTTAATCTGTACCTGGTTAGTAGATGCGTTACTTAATCTGTACCTGGTTAGTAGATGCGTTACTTAATCTGTACCTGGTTAGTAGATGCGTTACTCAATCTGTACCTGGTTAGTAGATGCGTTACTTAATCTACCTGGTTAGTAGATGTGTTACTTAATCTGTACCTGGTTAGTAGATGCGTTACTTAATCTGTACCTGGTTAGTAGATGCGTTACTTAATATGTACCTGGTTAGTAGATGCGTTACTTAATTTACCTGGTTAGTAGATGCGTTACTTAATCTGTACCTGGTTAGTAGATGCGTTACTTAATCTACCTGGTTAGTAGATGCGTTACTTAATCTACCTGGTTAGTAGATGCGTTACTTAATCTACCTGGTTAGTAGATGCGTTACTTAATCTGTACCTGGTTAGTAGATGCGTTACTTAATCTGTACCTGGTTAGTAGATGCGTTACTTAATCTGTACCTGGTTAGTAGATGCGTTATTTAATCTGTACCTGGTTAGTAGATGCGTTACTTAAAGTCTTAGTGCTGAGTATATTGTTAGGATATTATAGAACTATGTTAAATATATATAAGTATTACAGTTGTGTAGCTACTATTATTATGGAGAAGTTATTAATTGACCTACCATGCTGTGTACGTTTTGAAGAAATTCCTGTCGCTATTGGCGGGGAGGTTGAGTTCTGAAGGGTTAGAGTAGAGTCTGTTAGCCTGATCTACCTCCTGGTAGCTTCCCTGTTGGCACACGTTATCTGCGATCCTGAATGTTTGTTTAGTGATGCAACCCTTGTATGGCAATATGTAAGCCATTAATTAGCTCCCGCAAATATGATGGACATGTTTAGGACGTATGTTTAGAGCTTTTAGTGTATTTTCAAAAGCATTTTTATTGTATTTGGCTTCATAAGATGAAATAAAAAGTGATAGTAATTAGTAGTAATAGTTATAGTATTACTTATAGTAGTATTTATATTAGTACTTATAGTAGAAGTAGAACTAACGCGTAGAAGTAGTTGTTGGAGTAAGGTCGGAGATAGTAGATATATTTAGATCCACAGTTCCTGATGTAAACTTTAGTGCTCGCTCCCTTGGTGTTCGCATCAGTCGTTGTGAACCACACTGTCCTCTCAACGATTCCTTCAGCCTCAGAAGGGTGCTCTCCCTCAATCCAGCCAGGGTGTTTGCCAGTTCCTCCGTGTTTATAGAGGGTTTTCTCTGTAGCTAGCTGCTTTTGTCCAATTGTTACCTCGTACCAACCAGCCGTCAGTGCTGCAGAGTTGGTGTCTTATTAAAGCGAACAAATGGAATGTGCGCGAGTCAAAACTTGTATGTTCCGTAAGCAATGTTCAGAGATTAGGAATAAAATTATTTTCAGATAAATTAGAGACTTACTACTGTCGGTCATAGCAATAGCATCCAGGTTGTACTGAAGTCTCCACTCCTGATCCAGCTTGACGGTGTCCTTCTTACAGACGTCCTGCTCAAAGGTATAACCATAGTTAGCAGCAGTCTGTTGTAGATGGTACACGTAGAAGTTCTTACAGTTTCTCACAGTCACAGGTCTGATATGATGTGGATAGCAGTGGTTACCGTTGACAGTGAAACAGGCTCTTCCGGTCTTTTCCTCGTCTTCTTCCAGAGGATATTCTCCATCATACCATCCAGGGTAGGTGATACCACTGTGTCCAGGCAGGACAGGGGACCTAGCCATGATACCTTCATCCCGGGGGAATCTGTACCAGCCGTGCTCCAGAGTATTGTCACTGATCCTATCAGTACTGGGGCCCCTGGCAGCTCTAAAATCTTCCTCCAGCTTCTTATACACAGTGCTGGAGCAGGGATCCTGCTCTGCACAGAACACACGGTCACATCCCGAGGGTTTGGTCCACTTGTAGACGTAATCGTCTCCGTCATCTTTGTTACCACAGTTGAGGATGTGTCCAGTAAGAGAGTTGGCTTTGCAGTTGGTGGCTGAGGCGTAGTGGAATGTTCTACCTACAATTCCCTCGCCTGGAACTGGGTGACCGAGATCCCCGACATAGTAACCTGTGTCTCCACCACATTTGTTGGGAGCCACACAGTGATCCGGCATCTTCTTCTCGTACACTTTCATACGGTACCAGCTCTCATAGTCATTGAGTCCCAGTGTGTCACAGTGGTCACGTGTCTGAGAGAGGTAAGTTTTAGCAGTGGTCACGTGTCTGAGAGAGGTAAGTTTTAGCAGTGGTCACGTGTCTGAGAGAGGTAAGTATTAGCAGTGGTCACGTGTCTGAGAGAGGTAAGTTTTAGCAGTGGTCACGTGTCTGAGAGAGGTAAGTTTTAGCAGTGGTCACGTGTCTGAGAGAGGTAAGTTTTAGCAGTGGTCACGTGTCTGAGAGAGGTAAGTTTTAGCAGTGGTCACGTGTCTGAGAGAGGTAAGTTTTAGCAGTGGTCACGTGTCTGAGAGAGGTAAGTTTTAGCAGTGGTCACGTGTCTGAGAGAGGTAAGTTTTAGCAGTGGTCACGTGTCTGAGAGAGGTAAGTTTTAGCAGTGGTCACGTGTCTGAGAGAGGTAAGTTTTAGCAGTGGTCACGTGTCTGAGAGAGGTAAGTTTTAGCAGTGGTCACGTGTCTGAGAGTGGTAAGTTTTAGCAGTGGTCACGTGTCTGAGAGAGGTAAGTTTTAGCAGTGGTCACGTGTCTGAGAGAGGTTAGTTTTAGCAGTGGTCACGTGTCTGAGAGAGGTAAGTTTTAGCAGTGGTCACGTGTCTGAGAGAGGTAAGTTTTAGCAGTGGTCACGTGTCTGAGAGAGGTAAGTTTTAGCAGTGGTCACGTGTCTGAGAGAGGTAAGTTTTAGCAGTGGTCACGTGTCTGAGAGAGGTAAGTTTTAGCAGTGGTCACGTGTCTGAGAGAGGTAAGTTTTAGCAGTGGTCACGTGTTTGAGAGAGGTAAGTTTTAGCAGTGGTCACGTGTCTGAGAGAGGTAAGTTTTAGCAGTGGTCACGTGTCTGAGAGAGGTAAGTTTTAGCAGTGGTCACGTGTCTGAGAGAGGTAAGTTTTAGCAGTGGTCGAGTGTCTGAGAGAGGTAAGTTTTAGCAGTGGTCACGTGTTTGAGAGAGGTAAGTTTTAGCAGTGGTCACGTGTCTGAGAGAGGTAAGTTGTAGCAGTGGTCACGTGTCTGAGAGAGGTAAGTTTTAGCAGTGGTCACGTGTCTGAGAGAGGTAAGTTTTAGCAGTGGTCACGTGTCTGAGAGAGGTAAGTTTTAGCAGTGGTCACGTGTCTGAGAGAGGTAAGTTTTAGCAGTGGTCACGTGTTTGAGAGAGGTAAGTTTTAGCAGTGGTCACGTGTCTGAGAGAGGTAAGTTTTAGCAGTGGTCACGTGTCTGAGAGAGGTAAGTTTTAGCATTCTATAGAGCTGGTTCAGGTATCATTTGTTGGTTTTTCTAAATAAAATTGATAAAACAAGCTGTCCGTTGTGACGATTTTATTTTAATAGTTACCTTCTCGATAGTTGTACCACGCCATTCCTCAGCAAGGTCCACAGCATTCTCACATACATCGGAGAAGTCTTCCTCTATGCAATAACCAGCGTAATTTGTGGACTGTTAAAAGTCACTGTTAATAAGTTTACACATTATCAAGTTTACAAGCATGAATGAGTAAGTTAGTCTTTCTAGTATGTTTAACGAAAGGTTTGGGGGGAGGTTGGGGGCCGGGGGAAGGTGGGGGCCGGGGGAGGTGGGGGGAGGTTGGTGGCCGGGGGAAGGTGGGGGATGGGTGTAATTCAACATACCTTTTGAAATTTGTGGTAGTATTTTAATCCACACTTGACGATATAGACTGGAGCAGATTGGGTGATGGCGCAGATGTTAGCGGCAGTAGCGGCAACATGCCCCATCGACATAGTTATTTTACCTTCTTCTGTCGGATACTCTCCTCCCAGCCACATTGGGTATCTGGTAAAACAAAAAAGAGGTTGAAGAAAGAGGTTGAATTTAAGTAATGCTGGAAGAGAGTCTGTATAAAATAAAGAGGTTGAATTTAAGTAATGCTGGAAGAGAGTCTGTATAAAATAAAGAGGTTGAATTTAAGTAATGCTGGAAGAGAGTCTGTATAAAAGAAAGAGGTTGAATTTAAGTAATGCTGGAAGAGAGTCTGTATAAAAGAAGTGTAGAACAGGAGACTCACCTAAAACCACAATGATGCAGCCCTGGGCAGCTTTTCTTTATAGTCCCTTTACCAGCCGTGAAAGAGAACCAGTTGTCGGTATTATCTGGATGAATCGTTATTTAACTATGCATAATGGAAAACCAAAATAATAATAGCAGTTTCACTAAAGAAATTTGATTTTTGACTCTTTGTTAGTTAATAAGTTAATAAACTGAAATAATTTAACCTGTTACGATGGGCTCGTGAAGATTAGAAGTAGCAGTTTGGAGCTCCCCCCTTGCCATTGTGTCTTCCTTCAGGGTAAAGGTACTATCATTACACACGTCTGGCTGTTCAGTCGGAGCTGTGGGAGTAATTAATTAATGTCATTACTTTTATTCAAACTTAATAGCATTTATTTGCCCCCCATGAACGGCCAGAAAAAAAGAACTTTGATAAGTGGTTGGGTGCTTTAGTTACAGCTATAGTATATATAATATATATATCTATATTATTAGTCAGCCACAACTATCAGTACAACAACGCCTTGACTTCAAATGTCGGTAAAATGTACCTTTACAGTCATCCTCAAATTATTTGTTATATAGTAGTGTTGAAAGTATTATTATATATCATAAACTTTAGTTACAGCTATAAGAATAAGATAGAGTTAAAGTTATAGCTACCTTATCGGACGTTATTCGAACGGACATTGCGTGTCTACGTGAACGGACATAATTTTGAACGGACATTAAAATGAACGCTTGAAGGCATTAATTTGTATTTTATCTTGTCAAACTTTATTTGAACGGACATTAAAATGAACGCTAGGGCCTCGAGTGTCCAATTAATGTCCGTTCAAATAAAATCCGATAAGCTATAAGATAGTGTTGAAGTGTTTAAGTTAGAACTATAAGATAGTGTTTTAGTTAGAGCTATAAGATAGTGTTTTAGTAAGAGCTATAAGATAATGTTTTAGTTAGCACTATGAAATAGTGTTTTAGTTAGAGCTATAAGATAATGTTTTAGTTAGAACTATGAAATAGTGTTTTAGTTAGAGCTATAAGATAATGTTTTAGTTAGAACTATAAGATAGTGTTTTAGTTAGAGCTATAAGATAGTGTTTTAGTTAGAACTATAAGATAATGTTTTAGTTAGAACTATAAGATAGTGTTTTAGTTAGAGCTATAAGATAGTGTTTTAGTTAGAACTATAAGATAGTGTTTTAGTTAGAGCTATAAGATAGTGTTTTAGTTAGAACTATAAGATAGTGTTTTAGTTAGAGCTATAAGATAGTGTTTTAGTTAGAACTATAAGATAGTGTTTTAGTTAGAACTATAAGATAGTGTTTAGTTAGAACTATAAGATAGTGTTTTAGTTAGAACTATAAGATAGTGTTTTAGTTAGAGCTATAAGATAGTGTTTTAGTTAGAGCTATAAGATAGTGTTTTAGTTTGAACTATAAGATAGTGTTTTAGTTAGAACTATGAAATAGTGTTTTAGTTAGAACTATAAGATAGTGTTTTAGTTAGAGCTATAAGATAGTGTTTTAGTTAGAACTATAAGATAATGTTTTAGTAAGAACTATAAGATAGTGTTTTAGTTAGAGCTATAAGATAGTGTTTTAGTTAGAACTATAAGATAGTGTTTTAGTTAGAGCTATAAGATAGTGTTTTAGTTAGAGCTATAAGATAGTGTTTTAGTTAGAGCTATAAGATAGTGTTTTAGTTAGAACTATAAGATAGTGTTTAAGTTAGAGCTATAAGATAGTGTTTTAGTTAGAGCTATAAGATAGTGTTTTAGTTAGAACTATAAGATAGTGTTTTAGTTAGAACTATAAGATAGTGTTTTAGTTAGAACTATAAGATAGTGTTTTAGTTAGAACTATAAGATAGTGTTTTAGTTAGAGCTATAAGATAGTGTTTTAGTAACTATGAAATAGTAACATACCAACACAGTAAGCGCCGTTATAAGAGCTGGATACTGGAGAGTTGTAAGTCAGGAGATAGACCATGTAACTGCCACAGTTCTTTATACGGATAGCTCTTTTCCAGGTACAACAGTTACCACTAGTGAAATGTGCACACACCTACAAATATTTAGTATCAGAAGAAAAAGCATTGAAAGAATTTATTGTTATGTCAAATTGAAACTCGAGAACAGTTTCTAAGCTTTTTTTAAAAAGAGAGGCTGGGCCAAGATAGCCCACGAGAGGATAGCATTGAAATGCTCTGCCTACCTCTGGGGTGTGGCAACCCTGGGGAAGGTTGCCGGTGAAATCAGAGTGAATGGTGGACGATGGTGTAAATGGTGACATGAGTCAAAATGATACGTTTAAGTGCCAGCTGGGTTTGGAAAAGTAAAACGAGACGAGACAGCATATGAGATAATACTTTAAGTCGCCCCGGTCTGATCCAGCTCCTCCAGTTTCTAAGCTGAAGAACTGCGGCTTTATAAATGAGATTTAACTAAGATTTAAAATTATATCTTAGTTAATTAACCTCTATAAAGGATCAATTAAAGATTTAAAATGATAATTAATAAATAACCTCTCCGTCAGTGATACCAGCATCCTCCTCAGGGTGCTCTGAGTTGAGCCAGATAGGGTAGATACCTCCACAACTGTACCTCAGGGGGCAAGTGGTCAGCAGCTTACCTGGGGAGTACACAGGTTGGCAGGTGGAACAAGGCCCAAATTAGGGTGGTTTATTCAACTCATACTAATACTATTAGATATAATAATAATATGCAGTTTTAAAGTATCTTATAGTGTTTTATTGAATATCCAGCAGATTTAGAAGATAAAGCTAATCTTACCTGTGCCGCTCATAAACCGAGTCCAGCCCTTCAGATTATAGTTTCTAAGTAAAGGGCCAGTTGCTTTCTGATACACCTCTGTGTTGAGCGGGTTGGCGTACTCTACGTAGACTTTAGGAGAGCACGCTAGAAGAGGGGGGTGTTAGAATGGTAACATGGGGGGGGGGGGGGGGGTGTTCGAATATTAACACGGGAAACATAGCTTGTGAGACTGAATGAAATGATATAAGCTAGATTGACTATTTGCTACGCTATCATTGCACTAGAGATGTACTTACGATCGCACAGGGGGTTGATTGCTGTCTTATCAGCAGCAGCAGAATCGCACTCCGGCCATTCCTTCTCTGCAGCTCCCTCTTCCTGGGCTCTCAGTCCTGAAAACATAATGAACATGTTTACATATTATACATAGAAATTCCAGGCCTCTGAGTTGTCATCATGTTTACTATAATTATTGAAGCAGTGTATTCCCACTTCCCATGTGGTAGCTCCACAATTTCAGCCACTGTCCACTGTCCAGGTACTATAAAAGTAGTAACCAGATGGTAGTAACCGGATGGTAGTAACCGGATGGTACTGTTAGTTGATAAGGTACCTTTATCTGAACCAATTGACAATCTGATTTTTTACTATGAATGAATAGCTAAATATAAAGATTTTTACGAAATTTGCACAAAATACGCGCCAGCATTGCTATACGAAATTCAGTTAAGAAACCCCTGAAATCGTCATATTATATGTTTCAAATTATATAAAAACAGCACACAGACCAAAATGATTCAAAATTGGATGAGTATAAAGTGCCATATTCAGTCAGTGATCGAGAGATATGCGAACTCAAACACAAGGAAATGTTTTAATAAATAAGATTTCGAAATCGTTAAAATTACCTCAGTTTTACTACTCAATAGAAGTTTCCAGTTTTACAACTTTAATTTTTTTTAAAACCCTTATGACTTACATTTACCAAAAGGGGATGGTTTTTTAACCAAAACTCAAAACATGACTACAATGAACCGTCGCCAATGTCTCCTTTTTCCAAAAAAAATGTTCAATTGATGATGGAAGGCAGTACTCGGCACTAACAATGCGTTAGGGTCACATGCCGTGAATGAATAGGAAAAGCGTCTAGGACCGATTTCATTCTCAGTATCACTATCACTTTGCGTTTTAGAACGGTCATTTAAATTGATATCATTTCCTTTTGTTTGGAAAAAGAAAACTCTGGCGACGGACCACTTTACCCAATATTGGGTTTTAGTTTAAAAATAACGAATTTTGATATAGTAAGATAATGAGAAAAAACAAGTTTGTTCTCACCTGTAACTGCTGCAAGAAACAGCACACAAAGACTTGACAACCTCATAACATTTGCTTTATACGCTCTTATTTTTGCTTTCAAAAGAAGGGCGTTAAATTTATAATAAATTTAAAAAATTATTGAACAGAAATCTCTTGAAAAATAATCGTGTGGGCGACACGTAAATAGTAATGAATGATCACTGTGATTGCGAGAATATTGCTAACTAATACCGTAGTAAGTTAGCAATCGTGTAAATATGAGCGTCAATACAAAAGAAGAAAAGTTTGAAAATTATATTCTTATAACCAGCTTGATTAATTATATACGTATTCGTCAATTCTGGTCACGACCATGCGAACAGTATAAAACCTAGAATTGTATTAATGAGTGGTTGAAGAGAGGTCATCAGGTTAGGTCATCAGTTGTGCCCTATTTGACGAAAACAACATTTAATTCATCACCGGGCAAGAAGACCGTTAAAAGGACTTAAAGAATAATTTAGCAGAATAACTACATTTAGCGGTCAGTTCATTGGGATTTGGTGATTTGTCACTGAGGACGGAGAACTAGACGTTTGCCGGTGAGGACGGAGAACTAGACGTTTGCCGGTGAGGACGGAGAACTAGAAGTTTACCGGTTTTCTATGTGATACGATTAAGCGACACCATCATCAGCCTGTTATTCTCCAAGTATGTTTTAAGGCTGTGAAATATAACAAACCACATCATGGTCGCAGTTATAGATTTTAATTATATATTTCAATGTTGCCATGGGGTGGCAAGTCCCTATTCATCGCAGTCCGATAATTTTACTGCCTATCAACAAGGTCAAAAGGAAATCGCGGCACGTCCCATTCTCCACGACAAATTTGTTAAGTGAAATTTGGAACGATGATAACATTGATCAATTGTTAAGACAATTAATCTATATTATAATTTTATAACATACCTTTGCGAACACAATATTTATATGGATAAAAACTCATGAGGGTAAAGGAAATATTTCTACGAACATAGTGATGCCGCAACCTCTATAGTAGCCATCTTTAAGTCGTACACACAAACCAACAAACCAGTCTACCCCTAAAATTCATAATTCTATTCGTGCAAATACATTATATTTCCTAATCCTCTTATCTGATCCCTCGACCCTCATCCCAACCCTAACCCTAACCCAATCCCTAACAAAAGCATATGCTGAAATCCTAACCTTAACGATAAATTCGACCAACTTCCTTATTTTTATACGGTCATATCACGTGATCGAGACAGTTTTTCGCCAATATCTCGACAGGTAAGCATTTATGATTTATTTTTAACCCTATGTCATGGGGGTGATTCGGAATCAGCGTCCGAAAACACATCAATTCAAGTTGGTTTCAACTGTCGGGGGCCCTTTTAGAAAAATCTCGAAGATCGACTCATGTAGAGTGATTTAGCACGCTGATCGGCATATTCCAGCAATTAAGCAGGTACTAAGAGAGCCTGGTGTCTGGGCCATGGCCAAAGTCAGTTGTTTCTTTAATAAGTAAAACTGACTAAAAGTTTCGGTAAAACTAACAACTCACAACTAAGATAGCAACTTCTAAACAAACTTTCTAATAAGACTATTGATAATAATCAGTTTATAGTCTATAAAATTGTGACTCGTAGTTGTCGACGTAAGGGGCACATGATAACAATTATCATTGTAGTAGTTATCTTTAGCAAGTTGCCCAATGCCCATTCAATATGGAGTGAGAGACACATCTTGATGAGTACGTTCTTTTGTTAGATTAATCTCGTTCTATTTGCCCTTAATAAAACATCGTCAGATTTGAAAAACAATATATAATTGTATTCCTCAAACTACATTCTCAACTAGTTTGATGATGGTTCCATGACTGCTAGTTCCCCTAATTCATCTTGTAACTGTTGTTTCAAAATGTACGATATTGATATACGTCTTTTCCTAAAATGAAACATTAGAGTCACAAGTTACTAAACGGACATTGCGTGAACGAACATTAAAATGAACGCTCGTAACACTTTCAACATGTGCAACTCCAATATTCAATGTGTGACTTATGAACCGGTTGATTTATGTAATGTTAACAGGACCGAAAGAGTTCACGGTAATGTGGAGATACAGTAATACCTGCACATTGTCTACTGGTGAGCATTACTCACAGGACCGTTATTTTACAGGACCGTTATTTTACAGGACCGTTACTTTACAGGACCGTTACTTTACAGGACCGTTATTTTACAGGACCGTTATTTTACAGGACCGTTATTTTACAGGACCGTTATTTTACAGGACCGTTATTTTACAGGACCGTTACTTTACAGGACCGTTATTTTACAGGACCGTTATTTTACAAGACCGTTATTTTACAGGACCGTTATTTTACAGGACCGTTACTTTACAGGACCGTTATTTTACAGGACCGTTATTTTACAGGACCGTTATTTTACAGGACCGTTATTTTACAGGACCGTTACTTTACAAGACCGTTATTTTACAGGACCGTTATTTTACAGGACCGTTACTTTATAGGACCGTTATTTTACAGGACCGTTATTTTACAGGACCGTTATTTTACAGGACCGTTATTTTACAGGACCGTTACTTTACAGGACCGTTATTTTACAGGACCGTTATTTTACAGGACCGTTATTTTACAGGACCGTTATTTTACAGGACCGTTATTTTACAGGACCGTTATTTTACAGGACCGTTATTTTACAGGACCGTTATTTTACAGGACCGTTATTTTACAGGACCGTTACTTTACAGGACCGTTATTTTACAGGACCGTTATTTTACAGGACCGTTATTTTACAGGACCGTTATTTTACAGGACCGTTATTTTACAGGACCGTTATTTTACAGGACCGTTATTTTACAGGACCGTTATTTTACAGGACCGTTATTTTACAGGACCGTTATTTTACAGGACCGTTATTTTACAGGACCGTTATTTTACAGGACCGTTATTTTACAGCACCGTTATTTTACAGGACCGTTATTTTACAGCACCGTTACTTTACCGGACATAATTTAAAACGGACATTAAAAGTCCGTTCTTATGGACAGTTATCCACAAACATCTTATGACATCATATGACCGCATAACAGTACACAGACACTGGATCAAGCAGGGTTCACGTCATCGCAAGCACGGGTGAAGCACAGTTGGTTCACATCATCGCACTTGAATTTCAATCAACATTGAATGGTTATATGTATGATTGAGACAATTGATAATATGATAACTAATTTACAATATGGTGCATAACTGCAACCTCAGACTCAATTGTTAGTAAGCACAATTGTAGACTTAGCGGTGCCCCAGGTAACTCGTACTCCGTTTCATAGATCTAGATTGTAGAGTACGCTTGTAAACTAGGAGAATTACAATTAATATTATTGATTATACTGAATGGTTCTGAAATTTCCAACCGCTGGTTGCTTGATATCAGAAAATAGTTTTTAAGATTACCTAAACATTTTGAAATTTCTGATCTCGTGCACCTGCCATTGAACCATGCTTGGATCACAAGCAGAAACTATTTGTCGAACTAGAGTATGCTACCTAAACTCTAGTTCGACACGTACCGAAGTTCGACAGGGGTGATTTCTGGCGAACTTAAGTTGTCGAACTAGAGTGCGTGTCGAGCTAGAGTACGTGAATCTTGGATCTTCATGGTTGCTCTCGGTAGGCTGCCATTGTTGGTTTTGCACTGCTTCCAGTCTACATCCTAAGCATTCTAGTGTAGCAGACATCAATATCCAATGCGCTTCAATGACTCTGTCAACGTCCACGTGTCAGAACCGTGTAATAGTATTGACTCCACAGTACAACAAATAGACGGATCTTTACTCTTTAGTCCTCTTTTAAGGTCAGAATTCCACATATTTTTTAGTTTGTGACAAGCTTCCCAAGCCTTAGCTTTTCTGACCCCTCTCTGTTGTTGCTATCCATGCTCCAAGGTAAACAAAGTCTATCACCTTTTCCAGCTGGTTTCCAGAACAGCTTTCAAGACTACACTCCTCATTTGTCATGTTTAGAGTCATGAACTTAAAGTTAATGTTAGTTCAATTCCTCCTGTTATGTACAATTGATGGAGTCAGGATGTCAACTTGTTATACATTGATGAAACAAGTTGCCCATTCATTATGGAGTGAGAGACACATCTTGATGAGTGCATTCTCTTGTTAGATGAATCTCGTTCTATTTGCCCTTAATCGAACATCACAGTCGTCACTTACAATTAATACAATATATAGTTGAACACTGGCCCAGAAGTAACTACCCACACGCAACCCTTTAATAACTCACGTAATTCGTATCAGAATTGCTTAAAAACTTCAGAGAATATAGATATGGGCCAAACTTAGAATTCCTGAAAATGTCGTAAAATTTCATCGATTACAGAGGGTGTGGCACGCCACTCCCTCTTTTTCTTTATTGTCGCCATAAAGTGAGAACTTTTTGAGTTAGGAACTCCAAAATTTTCAGGACACATTTGGTTTGATAATTGAACTTGGAGTGCTTTCCTAAAATTTCAAGTTAGTTGTTTTGAACTAAGCCGAGTTATGACCATTTTAAGATCTGGCGGATACATGATCCCGGCACTCATTGTAATTTTGAATTTGTAATTGCATTCCTCAAACTAAATGCTGAATTACATGTCTGACTTAATTTGATGAGGGTTCAGTGACTGTGTGGTTTTTCATCGGAATCATCCGGAGTCATCCGTATGAATGATACCGGCCGTAATTATTTCTTTCAAATATTTATATTACCCGGCGACGGGACTTGTTTTGTGAAGCTGGACCTTATCTTATCTTATGGGTATCTTATCTAGGTGACCTTATCTAGGTGGCGCACTTATCTAGGTATCTTATCTAGGTGACCTTATCTAGGTGGCGCACTTATCTAGGTGACCTTATCTAGGTGGCGCACTTATCTAGGTGACCTTATCTAGGTGGCGCACTTATCTAAGTGACCTTATCTAGGTGGCGCACTTATCTAGGTATCTTATCTAGGTGGCGCACTTATCTAGGTGACCTTATCTAGGTGGCGCACTTATCTAGGTGACC